AAAGGTACTGGAACGGCTAAGAGAGAGACACAGAGGACAGTATTGTATTGTATTGAAACTATGACATTGACTAAATAAGTTATTATTTCATATATATAATGACATAGTTCTCACATTGTGCTGGTTGTGTAGTTGGACTCTCCTCCTTCCACATACTGCACTTGATTGGTGTATACGTGTTGAACTGGCACTGTTGTGAGCTGCTGCTGGACCTAAAGAGAATATCACACAGATACACACAACACAACATAATGCATGAGGCACATTATATTCTGTTCTTCACAAAAATGTCTGCCCCTGTGACTTGTACACTGTGGTCTGCCTTCTGCCCCTGACCTACTTGGAAATTCAGGGATGGAGGCTGAATATGACCTGAGCTGGCACCTGCAGTGTGGACTTCTGGCCCTTTCTCTGAATGCATAGAGGGCTGGTGCATTAAGTAATACTGCCAAAAGTCCGGCATGTAGAACATTTTGCCATAGCAGTCTCTTGTATTATCACTGAACGTCAGGCCCTGGCATGCACGCTGTCCTATCTCATGCAGCTGCCAATCTTCTATGCTCCTGTCTGTGTCTAAAGCTGTGTTCTTGCAGCTAGGGGGTAACTGAAATCCAAAGAGACAAAGTTAAGTCTATAACCAGTTTAACAAGTTGGAAACCTTTGAGAAAAATATAGTATAAAACTTAAACTGCATTTAATGTTAAAATTATGAATGAAATATAACTCCTTTCACCTCTGGACTGATGTGAACAGGCTGTAGATTAGTGACACTGATCTGGGAGCCAGGCTCAGTCTTGGCAATCTGAGAAGTTGCCTGTAAAACTGACCTCTGAAAAAAACAAAGACTTAATAAATCCAAAAAGGTAAATGACTTGTAAAATTCTGTTGATAATATTTGAGGGTACCTGTTGAGACGTTTGCACCTGCTGAACCACTTGGGTGGGAACGCCGGTCTGCACAACAGCTGGTGGGGGACTTGAGTCTGACACGCTGTCATTTGAGTGAAGCGAGCCCTCTGATGCACAGATGCCAAAATATATGTAAACAAATGTGAATTTACATAATTCGGAAGTACATGGCCAATGATCAGTCAGTAGCAGTCTCTAAATTATTTCCCTTTAGAATAGTATTATATTTAAGTGTTAGAGATAGAGTAGTAGGAATCCAAATATTATTACAGAACAGTTATGCATCTATCACCTTACCTGTTACAGTAACAACAATGTACTGTGGAGTGCTTTGAGAATTTCCAGATTGGGAGGGAGAGCCTTGGATTTCCGCTGTCACATACTGTGTCGAGGCAGGCTGAACCTGAGAAGTGCCCTGACTTCCAGCAGTGGGCTTCTGTGTGGAGATGGTAGTGACTTGCTCAGTAGGAGCAGTTTGACCAGTGGGTGTGACGACACTGGGAGTGGCCACAGACGTCTGAATCTCTGCCAAAAACTGGGGTGTAGATGCAGGGGTGGAGCTGGCATCAGATTGTCCAGGTGTCACTGAAACGGCAGTCCCCTGGGGCTGCGCTGTGGGCTGAATGTCTCCTACATAGCCTGTGGTGGCCATTATAAGATGTGGGGATAACCCTAAAAAAGATTAAAATGGTTGAGTGTACATTGAGCTAGGTTTACTTTTTGAAATTTACTTTCCAGGGATCAATATTATTCATGGCTAAAACACTATTCTAACACTATACAGAAAATTCAATAGAAGCTGACCATCCTTTCAAAGGTCTGACACAAACCCATCTTGTGTGAACAACATGGTTAAAAACATCACATATTCTACTTCAATTTGATTTGAAAGTTTATTTTACAGTACTTAATAACATGTTAATATGTAATAACATATGGTGTAAGTTATAGGGGGTTAGACAGAGTTATGGGTGGTCTTGAAATACATTCAGATGAAAGATCCTGTTTAATTATGTAAATGCCCGTGATGTTGTGGAGGCAAGTGAGAAACAAAAGGGAGAAGAAATACTCATTTCATTACCTGTGACATGACAACATGAAGATGAGCATGAAGATGGGAAGGCCCCTTAACATTGCAATAGACTTAACTGACACAAGTACTTGCCTATATTTTGTATTTAATATTGAAAAAGCATTTGCAATTTGGATGTTTAACACCTGCAACCTCCTTTATTACCATTATCCTAAATTAACGCTAAATAAATAAATTGAATAGCTAGATATTTAAAAGTGTAGTTTTATCCACACATGTCATTATAGACTAGGTTATATGATATGTTAACAGCTGCACTGCGAATGTCCTATTATTTTGAATGGGCAGTTAGCGATATACAGCCACTGCCTTATTCCAAGATTATTTCCTTTTTTTTTTTTTTTTTTTTTTAAATGAGATTCCTACGGACGTAATGGTGGATTAAATTGATCTTGTCGTGACAGAATTTGTGCTAACTGCCTAGCATGGTTACTGTAACATGGGCAACAAGCTAACTGGTCTCTACAACAACCGCCATTTTGTACCTTTTGCATTTGACATCGCCATAACAACAGCCTGCTTGAGTATGCGTCTATGGCTGCGTCGTCATGGTAGACGCATTGGAGCGCCTCGAAACAGTAGCATGTACAAACAACCCCATCGCCACCCAAAGACAACTCAAGAATCAATGTGATGGCTAGCTTCCCACGCTAACCTCGGCTAACAGTGAACGGCAGTTGGCTGCTATGGCTACAGTAACAAGATGGAAAAAAAAGCAAAAGCACAATTCTATTGAAGCTTTGATTAATGTAAACATTTACAATATTTTAAGAGCTTCACCTCTGGATCCACTTATGTGTTTCCCACTGGTTAAAGTCTTCTGTTATATTTATGGCGGATTCAGTTGTTGTTGTTGTTGATTCTCGTTGCTGGGTTCTTGTCGCCAGGGCTACCGTGGCTATGGCGCTTCGTTCTCACCAGGGCAACTGTTGCTACCCACCGGCTCTCTTCCCTCCTCCTCGGCTTTTCCGATTGGCTCTCTCCTGCCAAATCTTCTTAAAGGCGCAGTCATGAAGCATCTTACTACAAAGCATCATTACACACACCCTATTTGGGTGGTGAAGCCACTGTGAAGCGGTTATGCCTATTTGACATAGAACAACACATAACTTTATACAGTGATTCATTTGCATACAGCCTTAGATATAACTCCATACATAAACTATGGGTTATTTAGCCTACTCAAATTAACACAACATCAACAACCATAGGTAAAGCAAAAAATAAAACATTAGAGTCAGAAATCTTTAGCCCATCATCTATACATCAGCTGACCAGGACTGTGTGACCCTATAAATGAATGCAAATGACCTTTTATAAAAATGGGCATGGAAATGGAAAGACATGGCATTGAAAAACTCAAATTGTTATCTTTGCAATATAATCTATAGGCCTACTTTTTCATTCTACATGAATGTTCTGAGGAAAGTCTATCAGATCAATCAACAAAATTGCTAAAAAAAAAATTGCCATGTAACTCTGAGAAGACAAATATATGCACTGCACATATAAGCCTATAAATCACATAAGTTAAAGGTTTCGTAGACCTGCTCTTATACTTCATACAGGTGCTCTGCATAGGATGAAGTAAACAGTTAACAAGCATTGGTGAGAACACATTAACACACATGCACAGTGCTGGACTTAAACAGTTGAGTTATGCTCAGCCACAAACATTAATCATTTAGTGAGTGAGTTATGTGCACAAGCAAAAAGTGTTACCACCATCCCCTGTTTCCCTGGTCTGTAAAAGTCTTTAAAAGTCCTTATCCCATTCACAAGATATAGGCTAATATTTTGGTTTGAATTGTGTTAGTGCTTACAATGGTAGAGAGTTGCCATGGCAAATCTTCATATCTTTCTACAGAATTGACATAAATAATGTACAAAACATGTTTTTCCCTCATTTAGATTTGTTGTGACTTATGAGTCAGTATTCGATGTCTTACTGGTCTGATGAAGATTGATAATTTGAAAGAATTTCAAAGAGATGTAATTTAAAAGTTCAATGAAATTTTATTGAACATAAAGTTTGATAAGGAATTCATAAAATCCAATAATCAGCTAGCCGATCATATGTTTCAGGTTCAGTCCTCACCTAACCTCACCTATAACCTTTTATCCTGCCCTATAAGTTCTATAGCATTTTAACCTTTAAGCCTGATCTAGAGCATTTGAATGCTGATGGTATTGTCCCAACCCATATCTTTGTTTCTGTTCCAAAATAAATTTGACCAGACCCATGGGCCATGAACACCTAATGCCATTTTGTTTGCATGTTATCATCACATAATTAAGGTTCATTATTCCCATTGTACATATTAAATGAGCGACCTTTGACTAGTGGAATACATTTTAGATGAGTGACCTTTGCCTAACACACTGATAAAGGTGAGTTTTACGTTCACAGCAACACATAATAAGAGTTTTCGTTATCTGACTTTGAAAATGTCACTGGTCCTAACTTTACATTCTTTTGTCTAGAAAATAATACACATATATTTTCTTTAAATAAATATGTTTACTTAAAATATGTATTATTTACAGCTTACTACATATAAATAAATGCTCAACACTTATATATATGATATAATATAATATATGGGCTAATTCCATACAATCAATTTATAATACATGTATTCATATTCTAAAATTAAAATTAGGCTTAGCAATTGACCTTTGCTGACATATATGGTAATTACGCTCATCCCTGATTGTAAATTATTCATCAATGTAAAATACATTTAAGTGAGGTTATTGCATTGATGGACATTTGTGTTTTGTAGTTTTTAATAATTATGATATTTATAATATTTATTCCACCTTTGGTATTCTTTTTGTTTTTGAAAAGGTCTTTGATTTTATCTATTTCAAATAAACCTACGTCGGTCTAGTGTGCAGTACAATGCCTCTAAACCCCTTTATAAACCTCTGGATCCTTAAGCCATCTCTTACAAACAGAGAGGCAGAAAGCTGCTCAAAGCAGACTAAACGTCACTATGTGGAAAGCTGTAGTACTTGCAGTGTGTTTGCTGGTGGCAGGAGTTCAGCCAATGGAGAACCCATCCTATGGAGTTAAACTCTGTGGCCGGGAGTTCATCCGTGCAGTCATCTTCACTTGTGGAGGTTCACGCTGGAAAAGGTCACTGAGGAGTACAGGTGAGACATTAAAATATCTTTTATGTCTTTCTTTACTCTCTAAATGTAAGCTGTAAATTCAATCTCTGTTTGTTTACCCATCCATTTTTCCTTTTAACCAGGCTATGAAAGAGAGTCCATTGTTGTAAATCAGCTGTTAAAGTTTAATAAAGTCTAGATTCCCCACCCTTTATATTGCCCATTCTCTCAAAACATCATTTTCATCTGTTTTATTCTGGATGGACCCTGAAATGACTCATGAGTTTATGGGGTTATCCTGCATATTTTAATTAATGTTGATGATCAAATTTTTCTGTAGATGTTCTGGATGATCCTTTCACCTCACAACAAGATTATTCAACAGAAGGTTTGGGACAAAACTCTGCAGAAACCATCCTCCAAAGGAACAAAGACTCAGTCTTTACCTCCGAGGACAGTGGAAATAGAATGTTTACCAGACAGGTTCGCTCCTTCATCTCAGAGGAAATTCTCGAAGCGCTGCGCAAGGCTGACCACAAGGGACGAGACCTGGTGTTGGGACTGTCTACTGCCTGCTGCAAATGGGGCTGTAGCAAGAGTGAAATCAGCTCTCTGTGTTGAACATCTGCTACAGTCTGGTTGAATAAGGAACAGATTTGAAATATCTGACTTTTTACCTCATTTATTTGAATTATGAATTTGAGTTTACAATCAGATTATTGTTGTTGAGCTGCTTTCATTTTTATAGCCTAATGGGTCTATAATGGGCTTGTGTGTAGGCCTATATTATAGAAAATGTCAAAATGTATATGGAGGGTGTTTTGTCCATTTGAAGTAAATTACTGTACAATAAATGCATCTATCCATATTCTCCTCATGCATAGTTTGCACTGTTTAATAAATGTTCAAAAGTGGCTGACTGATGAGATAGTATTGGCAAATCCTGTAGCAGGGCAGTTTGAGGAAAGGAAGCTGCACATCACAGCAGCGTCCAGGGGCAGCCAGGTGAACACAACAGCCAGTAGCACCTCTAGGTCTACAGCTAGCTCCTTAGCTCACCCCTTGCATGGTCTTCATGAATACAGAAAAAACTAACTACACACAATCCATCAGTCCCTTACTTATATTTTTTATTGCACTTTTTAGATGGTTAAAATCCAATGATATTATGCCAAACACTAAGCTTAATAAGTTTCAAAACTTCAGTGTGTAAGCCAAGGAGCCACTTTTTTCCAGGGGCCACCACTTTTTCGTTAACATCTATGGTTATAGTCTACTTGCTATGAATTAAACAAGATCATAGTTTGCACAAAAGACCTTCAAAGAAAACCACGAATCCATAATAAGAATTTATTATACAGTACTATGCTTAGCCTACATGTGTTACGATCATCAGTTAAAGCCGTACATGAATATATCACATGGAGCCACACGAAGTAGTCTCGCAATTGCGCATGCGCACCGGTGTGTTTCCTGTAATGGGCAGAGCTAGTCGCTTCAAGTAAATGTAGTCTTTTAACCTTTTAACTTGGACGGTCTTCACTCACGATTGACTGACAGTTTAGGTGACAGAAATAAATCTTTATAAGCAGAGGGATGTGTTTTGTACACCAAGATGATCGAGTCCCACGTCGGTAACAGTGAGGTACGTAGATTAAAAGTACTTTAATTAGGTCTCACGTGACGTGCTTTATTTTCATCCGCTATTCAAGCCTCTTTTTATAATTTTAAGTTTACTTAAAAATGTTGAAAAGACAAACTTCCTGATAACCTAATCTGTATTATCAAGAGACATGTGACTAGCAATGCCCAGTGGAACTGCCATTGGTGTAGCAATATTAAAAGTCCTAAAATTACTCCCACTCCAGTTGTAACATGTTTCTGTGCTCTTTTAGATTCTGGATGTTATGTCAATTCCAATGTAATGGCCACAGTCGTATCAGCATGGTTTCTATCCATTCTGATGACTGGCTGTGCTGTTTCTGTCAAAGGTATGTATGGCTGTTAAAAAGAAGCTTTAAAAACCAAAAGATATGTTATAAAAATGATTGACTTAAATTTAAAAGCTTTATCTATTATGTTTAAAAGGAAGCCGTGACCAAAGAAGCTTTTGACTTGTTCATTTCCTGTTTTTGTAACTTGGATTGCTCATCTGCACTTAACTTGGTTTTTGAGGTGTTAGATTTACAAAAAGTACTGGTATGATTGCTGCAGTGCGGAAGTCTTTAGTATTACTGAAAAAGGTGTTACCCACATCAGACATCTTATGTTTAGTAACTGTACTGTTAGTGTATGCATTGTGAGTCTCTTTACTTTCCTCAGGTCTTGTAAGTCCTTCTCCCCCTAAATGCCATATTCCGTGTGGTGAGAGCAGTTGTAGTCCACACATCATCTGTACATTGGATTCAAAGCATGTCCCCAATAACAGTTTAACCTACACTTTACACTGGTAAATCAGCAATATTTGAGGTGTAATTTACCATGAGATATTTATTTTATTTGTTCAATTTTCTCTCTGTGTTTTTCTTACTCAGGGAAGATCATAAGGAAGAGGTAACAGATCACAGGGCAATAATCCAGCGTGATTTCTTTACTAGCCACAGCGAACTACAGGTTTGGGTTCAGATTCAGGACCAAGATGGAACTGTTTTTAAATCTGAGACAGTTTCCTTTAATACAGCAGACATCAGTAAGTCCATCAAGAATGTGTTGTGTTAATATTTGTGTGGTGTTTGAGTGCATTATTCTCTTACCTGCATGGCATCATAAGAGGCATAAATAATAATATTTTTAAGAAGTAATACATCAATAAAAACACCTTTTATATTCTTACACATTCAGATTGTGCCAATAAATACAATGATAAATATTTAGATTTCATCCTATTGTTGTAATATTGGTATTGAGCATGTGCATGTTAACTAAAGTATAATAATGTATGTTTACCCTTTCAGGGAAAACTGACCTTGACATTACAGTTGAAAAATACTTAATCGCACTATATGTCTTTATAGTTAAGCCACTTCCACCAAAGATAGAAATATCAGCTCCTCAAGAGGACATAGAAATTCACTGGGAACATTCATGTGACCAACTGATGCTTAACCTAGGGCACTGTACGGTCCGCCATAAAACAGAGGCAGAGCCAGCATGGACTCAGGTGTGAATTTCTTTTATTATGGGAATTCTTTAAACATGAGTGCGGTAAATTGCAAAGAGTGTTGCAGCTAACAATTTTCTAGCTGGTAGCTGACTATTCTCATTGATTACATTTCTGATGAGTGGATTCATATTTCATATATAATATTTATTAATAGATTTATTTTTAAATCATAAATTATATTTTTTGTCTTGTTTTAATTAAATAACTATACTACCTACTAAAGTTAGTCACAGTTACTGAGATCAATCACTGGCTTAGTTGCTATTAATTGCTCAGTAAATGTTTTATCTACTCTAAATGCTCATTTCTAGACAACATTGTTCCTCAATCTATGGAACGTTTATTCCCCTTTTCAGCCAGATGAAGGTGGTGTGTCTGGCAGCTATACACTCTACAAACCAGAGCCCAGCACAAACTATTTATTTCAGGTCCGTTGTGCTTGTGGCTCAAGCATGATGAGTGACTGGAGTAAGGTCCATGCAATAAGGAGTGCAGAAACAGGTGTGTGTTAGTAATATAATGTAAAAATTATAAAACAACTAAAATGAATAAGGTGTAATACTTCACTCTTTCTTCTTCTCCTTGTAGCCCCTGTTGGAAAACTAGATATTTGGAGAAACTGTGACATGTTACCTTTAAGCTCAGACTGTGTTCTCATCTGGAAGGTAAATAAAGTAATGCTAAATATGTAATATTATCAACTGTATTTACAACTGCTTTTTATTTTGTAGAAGCTTCCCATGTCTGAAGCCCGTGGACACATTTTAGGCTATAATTTGACATTATATTGTAATAATGGGACTACCGTGACTTTGAATGAGTCTGCTGCAGAGTCAGTTTCTCTGATCTGTACTGAGGTCCAATGCTATCATAACTCCTCACTTAAGGGTGTTAAATCCGTCAGTATTAATGCATACAATGCACTTGGTATGACACCATCTTCTCATCTGACCATACAAACACCAGGTATCCTTCATATTAAGCAGGGTTTGGGGCCGCAGTTTTAAAAAAAAGTGTTTCTGATTGATATAATGTATATTTTTAGTACGAATAACCGATCAAAGAGCCATTGATCTGAAGATGAACGAAAACAATTTAACTGTCTCCTGGAATACCACTTGGATTACTGACAATATCAGTGAATTTGTGGTGCAATACAAAGAAGCTAGATCTCCATTGGGCAAAGGATTTGATTGGGTCAGAGTTAACACAAGTCTAACAAAAATAACAATCAAAGGTTTGTTTTTAGTTTTATTTATGATTAACTTATGTATTCTCACAAAGCTGAAGTTGCTTTTGATGTATGGGTGTGTGTCTCCATTTATAGGGCAGTTCAAGAATTACACAGCCTATCTAGTGTCTGTGTTCATTGTATTGGATTGCATGGTGAAGTTATATTGCGAAGATATCGTACACTTTGTCCAAGGAAGTATGTATTTTTGTATTATGTTTATATTTATTTATTCATTCATTCATTCATTACCAATTACTAAAACTTCTAAAAACTATATTTTCAGTACCTGCTAAAGTACCTATGTTTAAAGTGCTTACATATGGTACCACACATGTGACATTACTGTGGGAGCCTGTTCTGCTCTCCAAGCACAATGATGTCACTCCATATTATCAAATAGGATATGGCAAAGATAATGGTAGGTATAATAGTGCAACTGTTCTAATGCATTTGTTCTGTTTTGTGTCTTTGTATTTATACATATTCTATCATTAACCACTTTATTTTTTATAGTGTATAATTTAAGTGCATACCCACAAATAGGAAATAGGACTTTTACGCTGACAAATCTCACTGAAGACCATGAATATGTGGTGTGGATAAAAGCAGTGAATCAGGCTGGACCTGGACCTAATGCTACTGTGCTGTTTAAGACGCGGGCCACTGAAAATATAGGTATGAAAGAATGAAGATCTATTTTTTCATGTTCAAGAATGCCTCAACTTTTTGTCATACAAACATTTGAAATATTCTTCTTTCTTTTTTTTAGGAACAGCTGTACTATTGTTTATTGGATTATTGTTCCCTTTAGTCTTACTTCTAGTTTGTGTGTTATCTTGTAGGTGAGTATATTACGATTACTTATTATAATGTGATCTGTGAAACTAAAAAAAATATGTGATGTGCCTGAGTAATTAAGTACATTTCATATGCATTTGTATACATGGAACACAGGAGCAATAACATGTAACACTTGTGTCAAAGTCATGATAGAAAATTTTCCGCAGAAATTTAGTGAAGAACTCAGCTTATTTTTGCATAATGTTAATTTGACACCGTATTAATTCCCCATGATGCTAACATTCACAAGAAATACAGGAATATAATCAATAATCACATAATATAGTTTAGTTTGCTGTGTTTCTAAAATACTGTCCATTCATTTGTAGGAAAAATAAAACATGTCCCATTGCCTCTTTGTATGAGAAAGTACCAGATCCCCACAATAGTAAAATCATTGGGGAAATACAATTCCAGGTAAGATTTGAACACCATTGGCATGATCAAACTGAATTTGATTAATTTAACTACTTTGATTTGTGTCATCTATAGATAAATGATTCCTTGGCCTGGCTCTGCATTCCTGCAACAGAACAACAACTTCCCAAAATATCAATAATTGAAATAGTGAACATCCCACAGTGTGCTTTCAACTCCAAAATGGACAAAGAAATGAATTCTGATGTTGGTGACAATACAGTGGAAGAGGAGCATAAAAAGACACAGTGTGGATCTGGCAAACAGGAGTACAGTAAAATGATTGACTCTGACGAAGACAAATATGAGGAGGAAGCAGAGACGGATACTTATTCATCAAGCTCAGGGGAAGAGCATACAGGTTATGAACAGCACTTTATGCCAACAGAACAAGACATAAAGGAGATAGAGGAGTGGGAAAGGACAGAGAAATCATGGGATGAAGAATGACATATTTTAGACAGATTGGTCTACAACCTTTGCTTTGTAATCACAATAATGAAAACTTTAGGAACATTTGATTCTGTGACCTTCTAACTGCTGGTTGGAGACATTTATATTTTTTATATTATTATAGCCAAGTTTTTGCAGAACTATTTTTATACTGTTCTTTTGTTTTTTAAAATTATTTGTTTTCCACTTTAATGCTGTTTTCTTGTAATTTCTTGTAGTTTACCTCTTCTAGGCAATGTCACAAGGCACGTCACATTTTAAGAGGCAATTGCATATCAGATTTCAACCAAAATAACATAGCCTAGGCTGACACAAGTAAAAACTATCCTACTTGCTTAACTGTCGATTGACTATCAACATAACATAATGTCTCTTTTTTGTAAATAATTGTAAGCATTCACTTTTCCCTGCACCTGCTGATAATTTATATAGCGCAAAAGCAGGTTGCTGGGAATATCTACTTCACAAACACTGGCTCGCTGTAAGAGCAGTATTTTCGTGGGGCGCAAATTGCGAGTTCGACCATAAACTATATGAATTCGATCGATTAATCCAGGGTGCTCAATACGTCGATTGCGATCTACCAGCCGATCGCCAAGGTCGTGTGGGTAGATCGCCGTGTCTCGTCTCGGACTCGCGTTTGGACTCGGTCTTGTCTCTCACTCAAGGTCTGACACACAACAAGTGCGATCATATTTCATTACGGCCGCTGCTGTGGCAATAAACTTGTACCGGGGTGCAGGAGCGTGTGGGGCGTCTCAGTGCAGCCTGTGCGCTCATTTGAAACCCGCGGAGACTCTACGACAAATACACACGCTCCCTATGCACGGCTTGTCTGCAACAGCGTGTACCCTCGTGTACCAGCGTGTATCACAGGGCAGATTAAACTTCCTAAACATCCTACCTGTCCATCTGCCTCACGTCAGCACGCCGCCCCTCGCCTTTTCACGCTCTCGCTCCTTCCTGCGTACAGTGAAAACAAGCCCCTTTCACAGTGCGCGCTGATTAGAAGAGGAAGACGAAGCGTGAAGCAAAAACGAGTCTAAATTTGTGTTACAGTGTTGGCACAAAGCAGGTCTACAGCATAGAGCAGACCTACAGAACAGAGTTACTGCGACATTTGGCTGAAGTTCGCCTAACAAAAGTGCACAAATGCATCTGTGTTTGTCACGATGTGCGTTTGGTTTGGTAAACGTGCAGAGGCTGGTAAATATCACTGCAAAACCAGAAAAGAATGCAACTCCAGTTTGGAACTTTAAAAAAACAGGATTAAAAATCTTTCTTCACTTTTTTCACAGTTTTGTGTAAAGTGCCAGAGGAAGTTCTCTTAAAGAAGGGGTTCTCAAACTGTGGGTGAGGGTCCAAAAAAGGGGCACAGAGTGTTTCAGTGCAGTTTGACTTGGTCATTTTGTATGTAGCCCGCATGCTGAAAAAGTGTGAGCACCCCTGGATTAATCTCTAAGAGGTTATTTTTTCTCCGAGAACTTGATAAATCTCGCGTGGATAGTCCTTTGAGATTGAACGGAAGCCGCAATAGGTCAGTTCTACTCCGCGTGCGCGTGCTCCGGGCTCATTTGAAGAAGCGCTGCGAAAAATCGGAGGAGCGGCCCAGTTCCCATCTACCGATTTGAAGTCATCATTGTAAGTGTTATTTCAGTACGACTCAGCTTTTACAAATCGATTTTCTTTTCACGCAAATAGTTTTTCAGTCTTGATTAGAACAGTTTAGTAAAATAAGCCGTTTTGAGGTACGATTGCTTTATTTAGCTTTAGCTTACAGGCTACGTAGCGTTAGCATTGTTAGTATAACCCATGGATCTATTGTAACCTTACGGCTGTCGCGGCTATCTCTGCTTTGGTGTGTTGCACGTGGTGGTAACGTCGACTCCACTTGCCTTATCAGCTGAAGGCATTTATTTATTTTGGTTGGCGCGAATCTGCCTGTGTGGTTTAATACGTGTAGAGTTTTATAGTTGGCTAATCCAAGACCGGCACGTTGTGACCACCCAATGTGAAATGCCTTGGATGACCAGGCCTGAATCCAAGCAACAGTTATTAGGAGGTCAAGTGTGTACAAAAACGCTCGGCAGTCTGTGTATTTACTTAAACATGACCGTGTGTGGTGGTGTAAAGCACTCATTGCTTTTATACGAGGACCAAAACTGTCGATAAGGGTTTTAGATGATTAAAGCAAACGGCTTCATTGCTAACTTCCTGCCGCCGCCTGCAGCCTGGACCCTGCAGGTAACCCACGAGCTCCAGCCCACGTGCACAACACAACGACGTTAGCCACTTGTACAAAAAGAAAAAGCACATTTTGACTCAAAGCGTAAATATTTTCCTGTAATGACCTGGTGGAGTGGGGGTGGGGGCAGGATTAACTTGAAGCGATTAAACTGGGTCAGAGATTTTAGCTTGCTCGTGTTGTCCTCATTTTTGTCATTTGCGCTACTCAAATTATGACGTTTGTAACTTCTTTCTTGCGTATAATTTTTATGCGCGTTTGGTGCTCTTTCCTATAATAGACTTTTGGGGCTATCAAAGTAATTGTATTAACATTGGTGTTTTTCTCAGGATGGAGTGGCAGCCAGATGAGCAGGGACTTCAGCAGGTCCTCCAGCTGCTCAAAGACTCCCAATCTCCCAACACCGTCACACAAAGAGCTGTCCAACAAGTATCCTTTCAGTTGCTTGCTAAATCTGTTATATTGTTGCATCAAAATCAGATGTTTTCTTAATGAATATTTCAGAAACTCGAACAACTTAACCAGTTTCCTGACTTTAACAACTATCTTATCTTTGTACTTACACGTTTAAAAACTGAAGGTGAGTTGAGAACAATGGCATATTCTGATTTCAATGTATTCAGTAGTAGTGTAAATATATGGATTTCTTTTTCTTTATAGATGAGCCAACCCGTTCTTTGAGCGGTCTTATTCTAAAAAACAATGTCAAAGCACATTACCAGAATTTCCCCCCAGCAGTTGCAGACTTCATTAAGAAGGAATGTCTCAACAGCATTGGCGACCCTTCACCGCTCATTCGTGCCACAATCGGTAACAAATTGGAGTTTATCCTGGTTATACAGTCATTTATTGTTCCTGGATGTGATGCATCATTCATAAATACCTGAGTGTACATGAAGGTGTTTGTATTCATACTGTCTGATCCAGTTTGTATAAAAGGAAAAAAATAATGATTTTTTTTTCTTCCCCTTATTAACCCAACGTCTCTGCACTTAGGTATACTTATCACAACTATTGCCTCAAAGGGGGAACTACAGACATGGCCAGAGCTTCTACCACAGCTCTGCAACTTGCTTAACTCTGAAGATTACAACACATGTGAGGTCAGCATATGCTTAATCTTTTTCTTTGCCACCAAGTAGGAGAATAATTTAGAATTCAAAAATCGACCTGATCATTTGTGGGGCTCAGTAATGGTCAAGTCTGATTGAGTCTCGTTCTCTCCTCTGTCTGTGTACGTTTGCGTTTCATTTGACAGCCTTTCTGTGTATGTCCGTGTCTCAGGGCTCGTTTGGAGCACTGCAGAAGATCTGTGAGGACTCGTCTGAGCTGCTGGACAGTGATGCGCTTAACAGACCACTCAATATCATGATCCCAAAATTTCTGCAATTCTTCAAGCACTGCAGCCCAAAAATCAGGTCTACTCTCCAAGCATTCTTCTTACTAGTTTATCCACATAATAAAATCTGGACATGATTAAACCGAGAAACTGACTATGAGTGAAGGTGTTAGTATTCATACTGTCTGAGCCAGATTTCACGCGTTAAAATCATGGTCTGAACTTGATAATAAAGATTTAAGTTAACAAATGTTTTCTTTGTAGATCCCATGCCATAGCCTGTGTGAACCAGTTCATCATTGGGAGAGCCCAAGCTTTGATGGACAATATTGACACTTTTATTGAAGTAAGTTGTTTGTACAGATTTTGTTGTCATTATATAATGTATTTAATGGCATAGCATCCAAATTTCTAGAGCCTGTTTGCGCTGGCAGCAGATGAGGACTGTGAAGTTAGAAAAAACGTTTGTCGAGCCCTTGTCATGCTACTGGAAGTTCGTGTTGATCGTCTTATCCCTCACATGCACAGTATAATCCAGGTAAATTTTAAATTCCTTAATGTACATCAAAAAATGCATAAATCCATTCTCAGTTTTTGATTTGAATCTTTTGTTCAGTACATGCTGCAGCGTACTCAGGACCCTGATGAGAATGTGGCTTTGGAAGCCTGTGAGTTTTGGCTAACACTGGCAGAGCAACCCATCTGCAAGGAAGCCCTCTCTGGGCATTTGGTGCAGTAAGTCTCTCTTCATTTGGTTTTCTTAAACTTGGATGATTAGTAGGGATAGGCTGGTATTTTTAAATACCACAGTATAACCGTGGAGTAGCATATTCTACAATGCTAAACTAAAATATTGTCCCTCAGTCGTCATACAGTTCTGTCAACGGGAATGAAGTCTGTGTGTGTTTGTGTATAATATAAAAAACTTACATACGTGAGTACATACATGGACTGAAATTAATTTTGCACCATTCTTTGGATATTGTTGTCATGGTGGGTGTTTATAATTAAAATGGTCTCATGACCTCAAGGCTGCAAGGAGTCTTTTTCCACAGACCCAATGAAATACTGCGCCATCCCTAAAACATTATGAAAGAAATGTCATTTTGATTATTTGTCTGTTATATCAGATTAATACCCATTTTGGTAAATGGAATGAAATATTCAGAAATTGACATCATACTACTGAAGGTAAGCATTGCTGGTTGGGTAATCTAGCAAATAGCCTTTTTGTCCTATCTAATTCAGTATTTGAATTGACATCTCTAAAGGGCGATGTAGAGGAGGATGAAGCGGTACCAGATAGTGAACAGGACATTAAACCCCGTTTCCATAAGTCGCGCACTGTCACCCTTCAGCATGAAGGTGGTGAAGCTGAGGAGGATGAAGATATTGATGATGATGATGACGATGATGATACATTGTCTGACTGGAACTTGAGTAAGTGCCAATTTATTTGTGACCTATGAAGCATGAATAAATTATGGTTTGACCATTCATTATTTTTATTTATTTAAGGGAAGTGCTCTGCTGCAGCATTAGATGTGCTGGCAAATGTGTTTCGCGATGAGCTTCTCCCTCACCTCCTGCCACTCCTGAAAGGCTTGCTGTTCCACCCAGACTGGGTTGTTAAGGAGTCTGGTATCCTGGTGCTGGGAGCTATAGCTGAAGGTAATGAATGTGCTTTCAGTTCATTCCATACATGGTATCATATAAAATATGTCACACAATCCAAACAACATTCACTACATTGGCATGCACATCAGGACTCTATTTGAACTGAATTTACAAAATGCAAATCCAAATACCAGTTTCTCATTGCCAAAAATCTGATTTAAAAAGCATACTCTCACTTCTCTATGCATGTAAGCAATGTGTAATGATAATGGACTAAACCTAGACTAAACTAATAATGGACTGTACCAGAGCTAAGGAGTGAAGCGGGTGAGTTTTTTTTGTCTGTATGGTACAACTGGCAAGATCTTTGTACAAATGGGTGAGAAATGATCACTTGAGTTTACATTTTAGCAATACATTGCATATTTTCCTACATCTGGAAATGATGAGAAACCCAGCTCATTGACATAATATGATACAATTTGTTCCTATATTTTCTGATCCAGATATTTATTCATTCTCTTTATTATAATATATTGTAATGTGTGAGCTATAGGTCCATAGGTAATTTCCCTATCAGTAAGGTTTGTCTAAGTAATAACATATATTTGAAATGAAAAGTTATTTTTGTCTCAAGTGAACCCCTCTCTCCTGTTCAGGCTGCATGCAGGGCATGGTGCCATACCTGCCAGAGCTTATCCCTCACCTCATCCAGTGTCTTTGTGACAAGAAGGCCCTGGTGCGCTCCATTGCTTGCTGGACTCTGAGTCGCTATGCACATTGGGTGGTGTCCCAGCCCCCTGACTCCTACCTCAAACCTCTTATGACAGAACTCCTAAAACGAATTCTGGATGGCAACAAGAGGGTGCAGGAGGCTGCATGCAGGTGAGGATAACATTATGTAATACTTGTATTTATTTTTTTAATTGGACATGATGACACCCAGCTCATTGATATTACAATGATACACTTTGTTCCCATAATTCTGCCTGATCCACATCATTGGTTTTAATATGCGCAGCCCAGAGTGGAGTGAGTTTTGTCAGTTAACGGTTTTATTTTGTTTTAAGTGCATTTGCTACATTAGAAGAGGAGGCATGTACAGAATTGGTACCGTACCTGGGTTTCATCCTGGACACTTTGGTCTTTGCCTTTGGAAAATACCAACATAAGAATCTTCTTATCCTGTATGATGCTATTGGGACTTTGGCAGACTCTGTGGGACACCACCTCAACCAACCAGTGAGTTATCAACACTTTTGACCAATTTGAAGAAATTAAATGTATGGTTGAATTTGCTTCTAAATGTATTCTGTTCTCCACAAAACAGGAGTACATTCAGAAACTAATGCCCCCACTCATTGCCAAATGGAATGAGCTCAAGGATGAAGACAAGGATCTCTTCCCACTTCTAGAAGTATGCAAGTGGTTTTGTTTGACCTAATGCTTATTCTGTTTACAAATGTATTTATTTCTCCTAAAGTGCCTGTCTTCAGTCGCGACAGCCCTGCAGAGTGGTTTTCTCCCGTATTGTGAACCAGTGTATCAGCGCTGTGTTACACTTGTACAGAAGACACTAGCTCAGGCAATGGTAAATATGACTTTGATTATTCAGTCTAAAATCAGAAATACAACATTTTATAAACATACATTAGCAGTGGACACTGATCAGTGCTGTCACTATCAGATGTACAGCCAGCATCCAGACCAGTATGAAGCTCCAGACAAAGACTTCATGATTGTGGCCCTGGATCTCCTAAGTGGTTTGGCTGAAGGTTTGGGGGGCCACGTGGAGCAGCTGGTGGCCCGCTCCAACATCATGACCCTACTTTTTCAATGCATGCAGGTATGACATCTGCCTTTGCTTAAATTAAATGCATTTTTACTGTTGAAGTTCACATAAAGAAATTAAACATATGTGAAACATGTGCATATTATGATGTGCTTGTCTTTAGGATACTATGCCTGAGGTAAGGCAGAGTTCTTTTGCTCTTCTGGGTGACTTGACAAAGGCCTGCTTCCCGCATGTTAAGCCATGCATTGGTGAGTTGTGTCCTTTGCAATAGCTGATGCCACTCTTGATTTTGCTACAATATGTTCAAACATGTTTTCTCTACATTTCAGCTGAGTTTATGCCCATATTGGGACTTAACCTAAACCCAGAGTTTATTTCGGTGTGCAACAATGCCACTTGGGCAATTGGGGAGATCTCTATACAGATGGGTATGTTTTTTTTGTTTTTGTTTTTTTGCATTTTAGTATTAAAACTGTATTCTGTTTCTGGAAATGAAGACAAACCCAGCTCATTGACATAGAATGATACAATTTGTTCCTATTTTGTTCTGATCCAGAAAAACAGAATTTCTAATTACTGAAAATGTAAAAGTTTTTACCTGAACAATGGACTGACTTGTCAAGCTGGTAGTTACAAGGGCAAAAGAAAGTCATCACGCATGTTTGTCTTTGTGGATTTTCAGGTACAGAGATGCAGCCTTATGTAGGTATGGTTCTGCCACATCTGGTGGAAATTATTAATAGACCCAACACACCCAAGACCCTCCTGGAAAACACGGGTAAATGTCCATTATAGAAGTTGTCCATATCTTTGTCAGCAACTGGTTAACTGATGTTTTTCTGTTCTGCAGCCATTACAATTGGTAGACTGGGTTATGTTTGTCCTCAGGAAGTAGCTCCACAGTTGCCCCAGTTCATTAGACCATGGTAAATCCCTTTTGTCAATGTGGAAAATACACCGCCTTCCCTCTGAACACATGACTAAATAAATTGTTGCTGTATTTTTCAGGTGTTCTTCATTGAGAAATATTAGAGACAATGAGGAGAAAGACTCTGCCTTTAGAGGGATTTGTGTCATGATTGGTGTCAACCCAGGCGGCGTTGTGCAGGTGTGCTACTCATTTGGGAGTTAATGATTTACTAAGTTGATAGTGGGCCCTTCATGCAATTTTTTCCCCTCAGGATTTCATCTTCTTTTGTGATGCTGTAGCATCGTGGGTAAGCCCTAAGGATGACTTGAGAGACATGTTTTATAAGGTAAGATATGAGTCAGTCCAGACTGTTTTGTCACCACACTGTGATGATCACTTCATCAGACATTCGAAATCTGACTTGCGCTGTAGACATAATTCTTCTGATGTGTGGTTGGGCTTGTTGCAGCTTTCTGAAGACAAAAATGCAATCATCTTTTTTCATTAGTCAGTTCTAACTGTTTCTCTGTTCTGAAGATTCTGCACGGCTTTAAGGATCAAGTTGGGGAAGAAAACTGGCAGCAGTTTTCTGAACAGTTCCCTCCTTTACTAAAGGAGCGTCTTTCGGCCTGTTATGGCGTCTAACCTGTTTTCCCGAGTCCATACAGGACACTGACCTGCTAGGTAAGTCCCACAGAGAACCTGAGATCTACTCCCTATTTGGAAGTGATGACAATCCCAGCTCATTGACATGCAATGATACACTGTGTTCCCAATATAAACTCTGATCCATACTGAGACTCACATTCATCCATATATTTTGATGGATTCATATTGGATTCAAATGGCGTACTGATAAAACTGTTTGTTTTTGCAGGTTATCGTGGGGGAGGGTTACAGCGAACTCATTGCACTAGCCATGTCATCGGGAGAAACATGAGCTGAAGGGATGGGGCTGGCCTTGACTGTCCACTCAGCGGATGTCCTACTTCTTCCCACCCCTGTGCACCCTGTGTTTATCTGTGAGGGAGGGGGGGGAAGGGTAGAGGGTGTGGGAGGGTACACTCGGGTTATACAGTACATATACCTCTCAGATTCAATGCCTCGCTAAATACATTACGTTCAAAAGTGACTTTAGCAAACCACACCATAAGGGTTTTTAAATCATGAGGGAAAAGTCTGGTTTCAAATGTTCCCTTGGCTAAATAGGTGTTTATGCTACATGACCTGCTGGAGGGGTATGGAAGGGTACATAAATATATTCTGAACCAGCAATAGGATGTCAGTCCCAAATATTGCCTGTTGTCAGTAGATTGACACAGGTGTTACCCGGGGCATAAAAATGTGCTTTTACATTTAATATTGCAGGAAATGTCATTCTTGACAATGTAACAGCCAAACCATATGTTGTGCTTATGAATCTACATGTTAATTTCGCCAACTTTAGTTTGCACCCTTTTCTTGTTGGAAGAAATTTCAATCCATTGCAGTACAACTCTTCTGCATGGTTTTGATCACCTCCAAATTAATGCATGTTTGAGTGAATGTCTCCTCAGTTATGACGAGTTGGTATATTAGATTTTTTGTCATTATGAGGGATGCCATAGTTTAAAGATGGTTTTGTTGCGGTCCCTTTCAGTATTTAGGGAGTACAATATAGTTTTAAAGAGGCTGATCAAGAAGACTATAGATATAATTTAAGAGACTTTTCATTTGATCATTGACTATACTGTAGGCAAGTGGAGAATCCTAATGCTGCTACTGCTTCATTTAGTATTTACAAAATGTTATGACAGCGATTAGACATCACAAAGAATGAATTGGTTCATCCTGATAAATGCACTTTTTCTTAAGAAATTTAGAATTAAAACTGCAAAGACAGTTGTACTCATTTTTGAGATAGTTTTTGATAAGTGATTTTAGGATTGTTAATGGCTTGCTAAACTAAGCCTTATATTAAGCAATGGTTAATGACTAGAGATATGACATGAGCCCTCATAGTTTTCTAATGTAGCTTACACAATGACTTACATAGCATTTATAAAGAAAGGACACATCAATATTTCAAACTTGCATCAGTCAGTGCATATCTGGCTTGTTATATCGGCAAAATGATTTTGTTCACCTACGAGGGCTTCTTTTTGTCACGAATGTTGCATGCTATATTTCTTTAATTTTATTGGTCCTTGTAGAGGACCATGCCTAAGAGCTTTGTTAATGGCAATGTAATGCACTGCTGGAGAAGATGCTACTCCACCTCCTGATATTATTATAGTGTTTGCAATGCCATATACTCATCCGTTAAAACTGTGTAGGATAATGCCACAAATGTGAACAGTCTGTCCCTTCTGGACAAAAGATGACTAAACTAAAAGCAGTGGTCTTTATCCAGCTTTACCTGACATTGTCCATAGTGGATGACTGTAATTGAAGTACTATGGCTTTTTGCCTTTGGTGTTTTATTACAAATATACGGTGTGTACCTAGATGTACTTTAGTACCAGTCCTACTGTGAGGTTGTTTAGGTTTCTGGAGTGTCACCGTTTCCCTCCGTCGAGGATCACATCTAAAGACTGTAGATCGCCCTATAGACCTTTTTATAAGCTGAGCCTCGACACCCCCTCTGCCTTTTCGAAGTTGTGCATTAATCATTTTAGCAATTGAAATTTTTACCTGTCTGTGAAGTTGATGCTTCAGTGGCTCGGTCTCCTGTGTCGTCTTTGTATGTGCTCCAAGGCAAAGCTCAGACCAGAGGTAGCTTATCACTGATAACAAGACTATAAAATTCAGCTTTTTACATGTTTTTTTTTTATTTATTTTTTTTTTATTTTTTTGTGCTATAGAGCACAAATTATTTTGGACTTTAAAAGTTTTTTCATTTTCTTTTTATTTAAAGATTTTTTTTTTAATAGCGGACCATTTGAATCTGCCAGATTTGATGTAGTTACACTAAAGCAAGTCTGTGCTTGGCGCATACCTTGAAGATGACACATTTGCTTAACCAATCCATTTGTTTATCAAGGCTAGCATGTACTGTTTCTTAGCTTGACTGTGCTGCAGGTGGGATGTTGTCTGATGTATCCCTTTTTATTTAATTCTTGTGCATAGGAGCGAATAAAGTGTTTTATAAATCTTGATTTATTACATTTTTCTTTTGGATTTGTTTAAAATAAAATGTGTACAATTTTCAAGGGAAAATCCTATGCACTGTCACCATCTACCAGATGACATGTAATGTTTGACCAGGAAAATAGTAGTATTCCCTCCTGTTATTCCTAAATCGGCTAATTCTTTTCATTCTAAAATGATTATATAGAGCCATGTGGCTTGTGTCCTGATGGACACTGTTTATTTTAACAACACTGCTGTGATTGCAATTTGCTTTCCATATCAGATTTCAGCATTTTAAGAGCTGCTGAAAAAGTCTAGGCAGTTGTACAATAAAACAGATCATTTAGCGACCCAGGGCCACATTATTCAGAGAATGGGAACATGGCATGTTCAAATGATTGTTGGATTTCAGTTCCTGGTCTAACAATAGAATATACACGTCCGAGGCCTGGCTGTGGTTTGGCCTGAAATGAGTAGAGGAAAGTTAGTGTTACGAGGTATGGGTTTCTCATTGCATAAGGGCGTGTTGGGTTGCATTTGTGGTGCTGTTGATAAGTGAAAAGCCCATGTGCTGATGGCTGCAGAAACACTAGAGGTCGTGGTCGTCTTTGCCTTTCAACAATGGCCTCCTGTCACAACCTCTATGCCCGTCTCATATTGCCACAATTGATCAAATGTGGAACTCTGGACTTGACACAGGATGCAGAAATACTGAAATTTGAGGTACAATGGTTAAATTGGCCAACTCAGTGCCGTGTTTAAGACACTATCAAAAAATAAATAAATTAAAACTTAGTTCGAAATGATATGACAACACATTTTAAAGTTCAGATATAGACTAAAACAGGTTAATGTTAGACAATTGGTAACTAAGGCTGGGATCAGCCTCCTGAAAATGAATTTAATCATTGAAATGTCTCCAAAAGGGTGAAAACTAAGTGCAGTGTTCTACATGTCTTCCTGTCAGAACCTGGCTCATTGTGACTGGAGAGGCTGCATGTTTATAGCTTATTAGGGTAACTGCCTTTCTCAATTATTAACAAATGACTATTTGTTAATATAAGTTGACAGTAAAGTTAAGGTATACATGATTTTTTCCATGGGAAGTTAACCACCAGGTGTTAGGCTATATATATATATATATGTGTGTGTGTGTGTATATATATATATATATATATATATATATATATATATATATATACATAACACATATATATATATATACACACACACATATATATATATATACACACACATACATAAATATATATATAAATATATATATATATACACATATATCATATTCTATGTTTTTACCTGTTAGGTCCGTTAAGGACAGATCCTCATTTACCATGATGACCTGGTTTGCACTAAGTTCTGCATAGGAACTGTAGAGGGAAACTTTTTGATGTCTCTACATTGTCCCTTCAAATAAAGACTAAACTAAACTATATTCCACAAGCTTAAACAGAGTTTTCTTTACTTCTTGGGAAAATGATGGAAACTTGTTTAAAGTAACTAGTTTGTGTAGAGCAGAATTTCCTAAAGTTAGTGTTGTGGTAGAGTCTACAATTTGGTGCTGCTGTGTATTCAAAAAATAATATTTCTTCATAAATTTCTAACAAATGGTTACAACAAAAATGACGCAAAGCAAGAGCAAATATTGAAAAATTGTAGCCTAGTTACATTTCAAAGTAAAAGTTTAAGAGCACTACTAGAGACGGGAGACTAACAGTCCACTACTTCACTAACATAGCATTGCCAAAAGTATGTAAAATAATCTGCTACTGTTCAAGGAGAAACAGGAAAAGCAGAACATGCAGGCTGCACTGGATTCTGCATATTCTGCTCATTAACTATTTAAACCTAGGTTGATAAGGTTGCCTGCTCTATACTCTGTGGGGAACTGACAGAGCAACATCCCGAGGACAGACAATTCTAGGACAGCTGCTTACTGTACGCCAGGTATTTACTTCAACTTGTAACTTATTGACTATTTTTGCTTAAAAGTCTTTATTACGTGATATTGACTCTTGAGAGCTTTAAACCGTGTGTTAATGTTGTTAGCTCATTGAAAACACAGCTAGAGTTGTGTTTTGTTTCATTTACACATGTCTGAGTAATCCTTTTTCATTAGTCCGTCTACATCTCCAAAACTTTCTCTGTTCAACCTTGTGATGTCACAAAGCAGTAGTAAGTTAACAACTCCTTTTACCTTAAGTTCAGTAGAGATTGACAAGTCTGAAATCATCCAAATTATTCTAGTAAAGATGTGTGGAGTTTAAAAACACAGTGGAACACCTGTATTACCACAAGACATTACAAGAAAAGAACTCAGTGTAAATATGCAGGGTTTTTGTGTTAAACGTGTGTGATTGAAACAAAACACAACTCCAGGTATACTATTATTTGTGATGATGCAACAACATTTTAACATAGATCAGAAAATAGCATAATATAGGCCTTTTAATGTTAGAAATCTTGCAATAGACTTTTTCTTATCAATTGTATAAGCAAATGTTGTGTTATTTTGTTTAGATTTTCAAACAACATGGCTCTTCATAATCATGATCATGGTGATGTGTACCGTGAGTGTGACCCTGTCCCAGAGGAGACCCCTCAGATCAGAGGCTATGACTTTAACCTGGGAGTGGACCACAAAGCCCTACTCCAGTCTTACTACAACACAGGCTTCCAGGCCACACACTTTGGTCTGGCGGTCAATGAGATCAACAACATGGTGAGATCTAAGTTAAGATAAGTAGTAAATTAACATTTACAATACACCCAGTTTTAAAGCAGACTGTTCAATGTTTAATGTGGCGAGATGCTGCAAAAATATTACTTAAATATGAATTATGATTTGGCTAGACATAATACAATCTGATGAATAAAGACAAATGAAAGCAAACTATCATAATTTATTTAGATATTGCATTTCGTGTAAAGTCTGTTTTTGTAATATCAGAAAAAGATACTCAAGATACTTAGTGAAACTTAATGAAGAACAAGTGTGGTTTTCTTTCTGAGCTCAGTGTAATATTTAATGTCTTCTTAAATACAAAGAATGGTAATTGGTTGTGTCGTTTTACATTAATCCAACAAATGAATGCGGGAGGATTTGCACCCACAGATAAAGAAGAGGAAAGAGCCCGTGAAGAGAGAGAATGGACGAGTAGAAGAAGACCCCTCAGCCTGCCCCTGTCTGAGGAGCTGCACCATCTTCCTGAGCTACACCTCCAACCTGATCAGCAGTGGCATCAGAGAAACTATTCGCTACCTCGTGCAGCACCGAATGGTACAGCAGCGGATTTATCATTACTGATTTACTGAATTTATTCCTATAGCGAAATGTTTCTGTAGTTACCATAGTGGCACAATGCACACATTAGCAAACATAGACAAAAAATTTCAAGAAAAAATTTGCGGTGTAACGATATCCAAGACTCATGATATCGTCACGGTATGAACCTCACGTTATGATATTTACTGCGATATCGTGGGAAAGTTCACGATGTGGTGGAAAGGCTTACAATAAGGAATGTAACAATATCCAAATCTCTCTGTATATTTTCATGATATACATCTCATGGTACGATATTTGTTGCGATATTTTGTGGAGGCTAAACAGGAAAAACTGTTAATATTTTACTTTTTCCTCTTAAAATGCCTTGACAAGACTTAATCCAAAGAACTAAGACTTAAAAGTGCTTGTCGTCTGCACTGAAATTGGAGCAAAGGATCATGGTCTATGTAGTTCTCTCTGTATTTTTTTAGCTATTGCTGCACCATAACTCTTAATTTAAGCAAAGAGACTTGTGATTCGATATATATTGATGGTCCACGATGTTATTGTAAAAACTTTGACAATACGATATCACGATATTTCGGTTATTGTTACATCCCTAGAAAAAATACAAAATGGATTTAAACAACACATTTTCAGTAGCCTGTGATCAAAATGAGTGTTCAGTGTCCTGTTTAGGAGTTTGATTTTCAACAAAAAACATGAGAGTGATCAGGTGAATGAAGGCTGTATCAAGTGGTGGTTTGAATATTGTTTAATGAAGTTACACATTGAGTTGAAGCTTAAACACTGAGATCTTATCTGTTGAACAGTACCATTGTGTTTCCTATATAATGGGTAACCTATGTGCTTCTAAGCAAATTCCTTTGCTTTGTGGAGCTAACCAACTGTCTTATCTAAACAGACTTGGTGTGATTTACAATGGTTTGGAGGGGGTTGTCACTTCCCCCAAAGAAGAAATGCTGACACTTCAAGGCAACGATTCAAGGCGGGAACCTGCTCAACATATTATTAGCATATTCATATGGATGTTTATAAAAACTGGATTGAAGTATTCAGAAGGGGTCAGATGCCTGATGTAAGTCCTATGTAAGTTTGTAGGCAGTTAGGGACAACGATCTGACCCAGAGCTCTGTATTAGAATTGTATTGTCAGGGGAATAAATTTTTGTAATTTAAATTGATTGAGTCTAGTACTTTTTGATAGAACACGCCTAACAGTTTAACACGTTTTCAGTAGCCTGTGATCAAAATGAGTGTTCAGTGTCCTGTTTAGGAGTTTGATTTTCAACAAAAAACATGAGAGTGATCAGGTGAACTAGAAATAGCTGGCTAATGACTAATGAATGATGACTGCAATGGTATTTGAAAGGAACTCGTTTAAGAGCACAAATCAGCTCACCTGTTGTAGTTCCAGGTAAATCAGTTCTTTATGGCCAGGTTGTTGTTACAATAAAGCTTAATTTAAGACCCATGCACTGCTGATGACATTGAGTATAAATAATGGCACAGAATGGAGTGCTGGTTATTAAAATGATTTTTCTTCTACATTTGTTTGTTCTCCTTCTTTTCATTCAGGTGGATATCCTTGTGACCACAGCAGGAGGAGTCGAGGAAGACCTTATCAAATGTCTTGCCCCTGTTTATCTGGGAGATTTCAGAGCACCTGGCGTAGAGCTGTACAAGAGGGGCTTAAACAGGTTCACTACACTGTCCTGGACTTTAGGACTGCACAATCAAATAATTATTGCCATACTGGTTGACATAATACACATAATTAGGGTTGCACCGATATGACTCTGGTATCCGATACTGAAAAAAATGCTGAATTGCTGATTGATACCAGATTTCAAATATCGATTTAGACAATATCCTGGTTGAACATATGAACTGATGTAAAAAGTCGCTCAAAAAGTCTCAAAAAGTTCTAACTTTTTTCTATACAAAGTTGCTCTTTAGTTACTTGAGAGATAAATAACAGCTAGATAACACACAATGTCACAATAAGACATTTTGTGTTATTATATTTTTGTTTAAAGGAAGTAAATGCTGTTTTCAGTCTGTGGTGTCAATTGATATCGGCAGATACTTAAAGCCATAGTATCAAAACTGGTAACTGAAAAAGCTGGATTGGTACTGAAGTCTCTGCACTGGCTTTCCGTGAGATTCAGGATAGATTTTAAAGTACTTTAACTGGTTTATAAAGCTCTTAATGGTCTTTGTCCTATTTATTTATCTGATCTGCTTTTACCATATGAGCCTCTCGGACCCTCAAGTCCTCAGGCATTTATATTTTAATGTCCCAAGAGTCTAAACTAAATCTCATGCTGAGGCGTCATTTGCAGTAGTATTCTTTTTTGGGTTTTTTTTTGTTTTGTTTTAATAATAATAATAATTTCTTCATTTTTACAACAACCCAGGGGTGTCAAACTCAAATTCAAGAGAGCCAAAATTAAAAGGTGGGACTTGGTTGTGGGCCATACTAAATATTTATTGAAAAATTTCAACTACATCTGCATGTTTTCTCTTCTTTCGAGATATGTAATATTAAACCTTTTTTTATTAAAATAAATGTTTAATAATAGTTTTGCTTAAACACTGAATCCAGAACAAACATAATATAAAATAATAACAAAAATTTTAATAAATAATGTCTCTATAATCTATCTGTAGCTGCCGGGTCAGCTCTAATACATATTTGATATGATCTCGCGGGCCAAATATAATTTTATCGTGGGCCAAATTTGGCCCCTGGGCCTGGGTTTGACATGTTTGCTATAACCTTTAAGAGCTTTATGTGCTATGTTTCTGTCTAAATTGCTGTAAATATGGAAGAAACAACGGACTGAGTGTGAGGTTGCTGTTGTTTTAATCATTGTAATTTTTCTGTTGCATGTGAAGCACTTTATGCTACATTTCAAATGTATGAAAAGTGCTATACAAATAAAGTTTGACTGAGTTTGAACCCTGCACATAATGTTAGAAACATTGTGGCTAATGCTACAGTTCTCAATTAGATTTTTGATATTTAAGCCTAGACCAAAAATCACTTAAATGAATATTAAATTATTACATTTTCAGTTTAATTACTTATGAACAAGAAAAATATGTTTTTATATTATTGTTTGAGCGAATTGCTTACTAAAACCACTGTTGCTGATTTTATGAACAGGACTGGGAACACCCTGATGCCTGAATATAACTATCAAAAGTTTGAGGAGTGGATTGTGCCTGTTCTTAATCAGATGTTGTTAGAGCAGAATAGTCTGGTATGTTAACCCACTTCTCTTTGAAAATGCTCTTTAACATGACACTGATCAACTGACAGGGGATTTCCAGGATTCTAGATCTTACATTGTTTTTATTTGGCACATTCAGGGAATTAACTGGACACCCTCAAAGATGATTCATCGTCTAGGCAAAGAAATCAATCATCCAGACTCAGTGTATTATTGGGCCTACAGGGTGAGTGACTGACAACTCTTATAACTCATTAACTGTGTTATGTGAACTGACAAAGTTAGCAACAAAGATTATGTTTATCATGTATTAAAGTATACAATAATTACACCTTCACCCAGGTGATGGCTAGTTTAACGATTCATTAATTAGTGCAAGTAGGTTTTTCAGATATTGACAAAAACAAAAGTAATATCTGGATATTTCTTAGCTTTTGCCATTTGCAATAATCCACCACAAATTTTTTACGCTGTCCTTGCAAATGTCATGAATTAGACTCAAGTATGGTAAAAATGTAAATGATCTTTAAAATGAAAAAAACAAAATGTTGTAATTGTTAAAATTTGACTCTGTATCATGTATTGATTGCTCCTGCACCATCTTCTGTGGGTGTGCACATGTGTTTGTATTGTGCAAAAGCACTAGTCCACAAAATGTGGTGTCTAGGTAAAATGCCATATAGTACAAATGGTCTTTATTTCATTATTAATTAAATTATTTCATTTTATTACTTCTAGTCAAGACAAGAGAATTAAATGAACCTTTTGTGTTTCAGAATAGCATTCCTGTGTTTAGTCCCGCTCTGACAGATGGTGCTATTGGAGACATGTGTTACCTGTTCTCCAAAAAAAATCCAGGCCTTAATTTGGACATAATTGAAGGTAACTGAACCTTTATTTTGACATGTTTGAGTGCTCTATCAATCAAAGGGCCTGTTTCATGCCATCTTCTGATCTATGTTACAATGTTTTTTCCTCATCAAAAATATATCTATTTGTAGCTTATCACACAAACCCTGCATATTTAGGCTAAGTTCTTCTCTAAAAAGGAAAACACTGGTAATACAGGAGGTGCTCCACTATGTTTTTAAACTCCTGACATGAAACATCTTCATGAAAATTATCTGGATGATTTTACCCCTGGAATTGCATGTCTCTGTTGATCTAAAGGTTAAAGGTACCTCTTAACTTGAATACTACCACTTCATAACTGGGTTATTGGGTTTTTGAGAAGGTAACAATGTTATAACATGGCTTTAAGCTCAGAAGAATCAATTTTGTGTAATATAGGATCTTTGAATAGCAAATCCATTCTTTCATTACAGATTTTACTAGACTAAACAACCTTTCTGTGGCTGCCAATAGCACAGGTATCATTGCTCTTGGGGGAGGAGTTGCAAAACACCACATATTAAACGCTAATGCTTGGGTAAGTATTGCTTATAATAAAAATGTAACTGGTTCATATATGTGACAATATACACACTATATACACTAAGAATAGAACATGATTTTGCATTATTGCTTTGTTTGTTTCTGCAGAGAGATGGAGCGGACTATGCCGTTTATGTGAACACAGCACAGGAGTTTGACGGCTGTGATTCAGGGGCAGCTCCTGATGAGGCTGTGTCCTGGGGAAAAATCAGCCCAAATGCCAAACCGGTCAAGGTATACTTTTGTTGTAATAAATGAATAACTGTTCTCTGTATGGACTAATTCATGTTAACATTTCTTTTGCATGTGATGTCTGTCTCCTTATAGATATGTGCTGATGCCACCCTCGTATTTCCCTTGTTAGTTGCAGAGACATTTGCAGTCCAAGACAAGACAGCAGATTTAGTTGTTAATTTGTAAAACTAATCTTAATGCTAAACGTTTGCAGACTTGACAGACCAACCAACCTCTTCTATAGTTCGCTGTTTACCTCTTCCTATCAGCCATAATATTATGATCACCGACTGGGCATCTGGATTATTTTATCATAGCATTGCAGAAGACAAGAACATTTTGTCCTCAAACCAGTTTAACCAAGGCCATATCTCAATGGCTATAAGACTGGTCAAGAGCATGTTTATCACAATGGGAAGTGGAGCAGAAGAGGTCTGTTGTGGCTCAAACTGCTCCATATCTCTGTATTACCAAGAAAAAGGCTGTTATGATGGATATTAGTTAGGGATAGACTACATTGCTTCATTGCTTTTTAGTTCATGCAGGAAAATCTTGTGTTTTTTTTCAAAAGTCTTTCAGCCAAACGTTATTCTACCAGCTTGCCCCACAAGTTGGACTAACACTGCCAAACGCATGAACACATACAGATAAGGGCTGTGTTGTATTTTAGCCATTCTCATATGCAGCTTTTTGTCTTAAGTTGTTACTAAATTAGACAATATAAATTGACATTAGGTGTTTTGATGGTGAACTAGGGCAAGTAGGGGTAATGAGTATATATTGTGCTATTCAGATTTTATACTAATAATGAATAATCTTTTGTTATTTCATATTTGTAACTGATAATGATAGCCTGTTATTTATGATAATGTTATTTGGAGCCAATACAATACAAATACAGGGTTCTTGCTATATTTAAGAGGTGAGCATTTTTATTGTATCTACAATGTGTTGAGAATAAACTGTATTATTAGAAACTCTTGATTTCTTGCTTTTTTTTTTTTCTTTAAAATAGTGACAATACAAGATTGTGATGAGTACAGATACTGCATGGGTGTGCTAGAGGTTTAGTGCAATGAGGTGAAAAGTCCAGGCAAAGCAATCCTGATGCGAAGCACACCACCAAAGCAAAACTGTCGAGCAAGAAAGCTGCTCTAAGCATCTGAGTTATGGTGTTAGCTTAAGCAGCAGTCTGGCTCTGCTCCAAAAGTGAGGAGGGGGGGGTGGGGGCTGCCCTGGTACAGGGGGCTCTGCGGTGATGAGGGGAATCTGACTTTACAGCATTTTCACAACTCAGAATTTAACAACAAAATATTCATCACAAATTAACAAAACTAAAAAAGCAGTATGTGTATACAAATATATAAATTGTTTTATAATAATGTTTCACAATCCCATTTCTGGGAGAATGTATTGTTATTTAAATCATGATTTGGCATATTTGAGATCACTTATATGTGGAATAGTAAACAATGTGCTCAAAAGTCACTGTATAGGCGGAGTTTGTAGTGGGACAAAGCTCTGTAGACCCACCCCTAGTAGGCAGTACTTCCACCTCAGCGGCCAACCCACTTTCTCAGTGCCTGGCTTCATAAGTACATGTACATAATCTTGTATGTGTTGACACTGTCCACTGTGATGAGTGAGTAGTTTTCAGAAGGACTGCATTCATCCTTTACTGTGCATGGTGCAGCACTCTGCAGTGGATTAAGTCATCAGTCAGGGATGCCCCTTTCTTCTCCTGGCTGTAGGGAAACCCTGCATGCTGCTATATCATTGCTTTTCATTACATGTTTAGTCCCTCACTATCCAGCAGCTAAAAGAGGGAAAGGTAGCGGGTTGGATTAGTTGAACGCATTGGGCTCATTAACTATTAAACGTAGCTTGGTAAGAGTGGATCCGCTGGGACCTAACAGAGCATCGAGAGGAAGCAAACTTCACACATCCTCTGTCAGCAAAGTGTGCAGGTAATATTACTGCTCCTTTATCTGTGCGGCTGCGGCACATCTGCAGTGGGATGCTAAACTAAACACAAGTTTGTGTGGATTTTAAAGAGCATGTGATGAGTGGAGCTATTGGATAACTGCTAGACTCACTGTCACTTAATGCCGCTGGGTGTCCGGAGTAAGTTCGAAAGGTGACTCTTTAAAAGCTAATGTAAAGTAATCAGAGTCAAATAGTGCTGAGAGACACTTGGGTGTGAATGTACATTAGTCTCCCTTGTTACAATTTGATATAACAAGTCTAACTGAGGTGATATCTGATGTTTAAGACAAAATGGCACACAAGGATCATCCCATTCATGGAGAGCTGTACCGTGAGTGTGACCCTGTCCCAGAGGAGACCCCTCAGATCAGAGGCTATGACTTTAACCTGGGAGTGGATCACAAAGCCCTACTCCAGTCCTACTACAACACAGGCTTCCAGGCCACACACTTTGGTCTGGCGGTCACTGAGATCAACAACATGGTGAATTATGTTTTGATTTATAACCTGCTGTCGTGTTAACTACAGCCTTTAATCCAAACATCTACCACAGATAAAGAAGAGGAAGGAGCCTGTGAAGCGAGAGAATGGACAAGTAGAAGAAGACCCCTCAGCCTGCCCCTGTCTGAGGAGCTGCACCATCTTCCTGAGCTACACCTCCAATCTGATCAGCAGTGGCATCAGAGAAACCATTCGCTACCTCGTACAGCACCGAATGGTACTCAAATACTCACTAATAATAGGCGTACACATGCCAGTAAATGTAGACAATGTAAAATTATTTTTCAAATTCTGAACTGACTTCTATGATATTTTTATTTTTTTGAATATCACATCTTAGGTTGTACATAATTGACCCATTGTTATTACTAACCAGTATAGTTGATGCTGCTCTTTTACAAAGTACACACATACACATATCTTTCACTATTTACTATTGCTACTTCTGTAACTATTCCTACTTGCAGTGATACTGTTAGCCACAACTACTATAAGACTTGACCATAAAACGCAAAGTGGATTTCATGTTAATTTTATTAGGCCAAATACTGACTGTTTACCTCAACTAGTGTTGGGCATATTGGAACCTTTTCCCTGGCTCACTCAGTCAATTTAATGTCTCTGTACAGGTTGATGTGCTTGTGACCACAGCTGGAGGAATAGAAGAAGATCTTATCAAATGTCTGGGTCCAGTTTACCTTGGAGATTTCAAAATGTCTGGTAAAGAACTCTACAAGAAAGGCTTCAACAGGTCAGGACACCATATTTAGAAACCATAAATAAATATATGTAAACAAATTTAAACACAACGCAGCGGTGGTGCTCTTATAACCTGAAGGTGGTCAGTTAAATCTCACACATGAGCAGTACCCTGCTGCACTGCCTTAATTTTGGGGGTTCTTTTGGTGGTACTCAAGGTTCTTCATCATTTTAGACTTTGTTTTAATTAGATACATTGCATGTGTGCTATAGAAATGTATTCAACATCCCGACTTATGCTAAAACTGGTTTATTGCCAATTTTGACATTATTTAGTAAATGTTTCGGTGTGTTTTAGACCAGTTTAAGATTAGTTTTTGTGCCAGAATATCTGGTGGTACTTGGGAGACAAATATTTCATAAGGTGGTGCTTGGTGTAAAAGGTTTCAAAGCTGCTCTTTCATCACAGGACAGGCAACACCCTGATGCTGGATGATAACTATAAAAAATTTGACAAGTGGATCATGCCGATACTGGAGCAGATGCTAACAGAACAAAACACTCAGGTCAGTGCAGTATTTACCACAACACAAAGAATAACATAATCTACATATAATAGGCTACAGCCTATGCTTTTTCAATCAGGGCATTCACTGGACACCTTCCAAGATGATTCATCGCTTTGGTAAAGAAATCAACAACCCTGAGTCCGTGTACTACTGGGCCTATAAGGTGAACTAACGCACGTGATTTGTGTATTAAACAGAAAATTGTCTTTTGATTGAATTTTGTCAGTTGGCGCCCTCTTGTGGTACAGTAATGTAATGGCCTCTTTAATGTTTCAGAATAACATCCCAGTGTTCAGTCCTGCTCTGACTGATGGCGCTCTAGGAGATATGTTCTATCTGTTTTCAAGAGAGAGGCCAGGTCTAGTTTTGGACATTATTCAAGGTAACAGGGTGTTGTTGTTTTTTTGTTTTTTTTATAATGGTTTCTTACTTGAGACAATTTTCCAAATTTTGGGAGACAAACGTGAAATGGAACATGTTTAGCCTAAATGGTACATATTTATCGATTTATTTATAAATAAATAAATAGATCATCTTAATCAAAATTAAACTCTCTTCATTGCAGGCTTTTTAATCAACTTTTCAATGTGATGATTTTTTCCCTTTTTAATTTATTTCACAGTGTTATGTTTTTACTTATGGTTTCAGACATTACACGACTTTTGGAGATGGTGAATGCCTGCAACAGCTCAGGGATTATAGCTCTTGGAGGAGGAGTAGCTAAACATCACATCCTAAATGCTAATGCATGGGTAAGGTCATAATCATTACATTGCTACTTCTATATTAGTTCACTTTTATATTAAGCCTATCATTAAAAATACTGAATTATTAGTGTGATCAAAAGCATGTTATGGTAGATAAAAAGATGCTCTGAATGAATTGCATACTAGTAGCCTATACACAGAGTATGTGTTGTAGAGAGATGGAGCGGACTATGCCGTCTATGTCAACACAGCACATGAGTTTGACGGCTGTGATTCAGGGGCAGCTCCTGATGAGGCTGTGTCCTGGGGAAAAATCAGCCCAAACGCCAAACCAGTCAAGGTATTTTCACAACTTTCTACAGCAGTCTAAACTGAGCAAACAACATATTTATGCACATGATTCAGAGAGTGCTCTTAGGAGGAGGGGGTCCAAGCTTGAGCTGATACAGCTTCTGTCAAACCTATAAGGTTAATTGTTGTCATTGTTAAACTGACTTCACCATTGCTTAATTTAAGTTACCTGCAGAGGTGAACCTGACAGCAGCACCACACTCTGAACGTGTGCTGCCACATTAAAACATCATCTTTTGTAGAATACACGTTTGTACTGTACTTTTTATTTCATTTATTTCTCCTTTATATTACCATGACTTGACAATATCCTTCTAAACCTTTCAGGTTTGTGGAGATGCTACTATAATCTTCCCTTTGTTAGTGGCAGAAACATTTGCAGTTCAGGACAGGCTGAGGACTACAACTTGAATAAAGTCCAAAGTTGTATCTTAAAGGGTGCTTAATGGTCATGAGTAATTGATTATTATTGAAAATAAACAAATTTTTGCAAGTGATATGGTTGATAATGTCTAATTAACACATTTTGTAGGCTATATTTTATGTCAAAATAAACAATTGAGCAACATAATCTCAGGGAATGTAGCCATCTTTTTCAACTTGTAACATAAAAACAGTAGGCTACCAACATTTTGGCATTAATAATACAACAGGACTGCTATCACTACAATTAGTAGAAACATAGCCTATCTATAGTGAGATAGAGAAGAATTTGTATGTGACCTAAAATTATGCCCAGGACAACTATCTTAAAGGGACTATATTATTCTATTTTCTAATCTGAATATGTTATAATGTTGTTTCCTCATCACAAAGATATGTGGAATTGTGTTTAATTTAATTCACACATGTTTAACACACACATTCTCCAGATTAGGTCGAGGTCTTCTCTCACAAAAAACACTCTGTGATCTCATTTGTTAATAAAGGAATGCTCCACTGTTTTTTAAACACCTTGACTAAAATTATTTGGATAATTTTTGCCCTGAAATTGCTCATCTCTACTGAATTTATGGTAAAAGATACCTGTTAACGTCAAAACTACAGCTTCATGACATCACAAGGTGGAACAGAGCATTTTGAGCTGTAGACAGACTAATAATAACAGGATTACTCAAACATGTGTGAATTAAACAAAACCAAACACAGGGTATGTTTTTGATGAGGTAACAACATTCTGAGCTTAGAGGTTACAAGTTAATTTTACGTAATATGGGAATTGGACCTTTAATTGGGTCAATTCCTACTTGCTTGAGAAAAACAGGTTAATTGATTTTTTAACTGTTACTTCGATGTTCATGGTTTCCACGGTGGACGGAAAACAAAAAATATGTAAGTATCGTATTTGAATAAAGTCATGTATCTTACTACTGTCCACCACTAGGGCGGAATACCTAGCAAATAATTGAAAGTGCTACTTTGATACATGAATGGGCACTGAGAAAAGTACAGCTCACCCACAGATTGTGTATTCACCGCCATAGATCTGTGTTCACCTCTGGAAATTGAAATAATCAGCACCACTGACGTTGTCGCTGACGTACGTGCGTATAGCGGAAGTGTGCGATGTAGTTTTTTTCAGCTGCCTTTTAAAGTCTGCTTATGAATTACAGTTTCGGCCTTTGTTTTACTATGACATGAGGCAGAATCAAAAATAAGTTTGTTATAACCCTGTTCGTTGTAAACGTGCTTTAGTGTGGGGGTTTCGGTGAGTATTTGGGCTTGTTCCTGTGTTGTTATCATAGACTGTTATGCTCAAAGCTAAAGATACCAAGCTGCTCTGTCTTTGTCAAAGCGTAACGTTTGAAATCTTTCGTGTACAAATAGTACTCTGCGTATTTTATAGATTGTAGCTAATTTTCAGGTGAGGATAAAAGGCCTCTTATACCTGCTCCAGAATTTGGACCACTGAACCTGAAAGTGTCGAGTCAAATCTGTCCAGCGATGCCAGTACAGTAATAACTTTAATGCTTGATGTGAGTTAACAAAGTGGAGTCGGTGCTTCGTACATCTTTATGACATGGAAGCTGAAAAAGATGATAACCAGCTACATGAAGAGAGTCCTGTGAACACCAAAAATCTAGATGGGTAAGATAATGCGTTTTTATTAACTTAGTCTATACATATTATTTATATAAAATTATAATATAAACACCATTGTGTCATGTTACTGTAGGGCTTTGTCAGATGATCACTCTTCAAAAGATGCTAGTCCATCGTCTTTGGAGGCTACAGGGTTGTTGTCATTACCATGGGAAATGGTAACTCACATTGCCTCTCACCTCCCTGCTCAGTGTGTCATCACTGTCCTGCCCAAGGTTGGTCTATTGCTACATAAGAAAAAGAACTCTATGTAAAAACTCTAAGAAAAGAATCAGAGCATTATAATCTATAGTCAAATTTCTCACATTTCCACATTTCACTTTTCACTTATTACCCTAACACCAGTTCACTCAAAGAAATAAGATAAGCAAATGTTCCAAAAAGATAAATTTCGTCTTCTTTAACTAGTTTATCTTGACATGTTTATCTGCAGTCATCCACAGAAGAGTGACATAATCTTGCCACTTGCCAGTGAATTTACATAGGCTGTTTCTCAAATGCAAAGTATCTTTTCTTGTCTCCTTCCAGACTTGACACTTTTGTATTATTTCTTTCTTCACATAGCTACAATTATCAATGGGTATTTCTTTTTAATTGACTCCCAGATATATTACGTTGTGTGTTTTTGATTGGGACTGAACACTTATAAGTTTTCATAATATTTTATTGTATATTATAACTTGTTACTTATTTCATTGTGTGTTTTTAGGTGTGTCATGCCTTAAGTAATGTGGGCAAAGACAATACTGCGTGGCAAATCCGCGCACGTAGACTCACTGGCTCACGTGCAAACTTTCCCGTTGGGCCAAAGGAGGATTTTGATTGGCCTACAGCTTGTCTCGAGATGGAACAGTTGATAGCTTTTTGGACCGATCAAGCGCACATTGTGGCCAAACAAAGTGAAGATCAAGTAAATGAAAGAAAACGGCAAGATGAGGAACAGGGGGCTGCGTTACCGGAAGGTGGTGAAGTGGAGGGGGTGGAGGGGGTCGGCGTGGCAGGGCAGGAGGTGGCATACGGGGTGGATGAAGGCCTGGAGGTAGCTTTGGAGGGTGCAAATGAAGAGATGCCAGAGAACCAACTCGAGGAGGCAGCAGCTTTAATGAACGAGGAAAGAAATTTGGGACAAGAAGATGATTTGAATCATCAGGAAAACATAGACCCAAGACTTTTAGGAAATGAACGACTTTTAGAAAGTGAGACCAAACCTGCAAGAAGTCCCAGCCCATCCCCAGCTTTAGAGTGCCTCACTTTACCATCGGACCACATTGCCCAGATTAACTCCGTCCTCCTTGTGGGTGGTGAAGGGAAGTTCTGCGCTACTGGGTCTCGAGACTGGAATGTTCAATTGTGGGATTTGGAAGCAGGGCCCTCCGGAGCACTTTTGCACACTTTGGGAGCACAGGGTCATTTTAGTTCTCATAAAGGCTGGGTGTGGTGTCTTGCTTCTCAGGGGCCCTTGTTGGCATCGGGAGGTTTCGACAGCACAGTCCGATTATGGGACCTCCCGTCAGGTGGGGGAGAGAGAGGAACTATAAAGGCAGATGCTCCTGTCCTCTGCCTGTCCTTTCAAGACAATATTTTACTGGCTGGGACGTTTGACAGGAAGGTCACAATGTATGATCCCAGAGGTGAGTGTTAAATTGAGTTGGAAGTATTGTATGGAAGTAAATCTTTCTTAAGGCTGATTATTTTTTACTTGTTTTACTTTTACCAGTGGCTGAACCTCTGGTGAAAAGCCTCCATCTCCATGGTAATGCAGTAATGTGCCTTGCTGCTGACGACAGGTACATCATCTCGGGGAGTAAAGACTGCACTGTGGCCGTGTATGACTGCAGAGCTGGAAAAGGCCTAAAGAAAATCAGGGTAAATGCACAAACACAACACACACAAGTTTAATTCAACATTTTGCACCCTAATTTTATTTCATTTATTATTATTATTTTTTTTTATAATTCTTAGCTAATTTAGGATTTGTATTTACCGGAACTATTGAAATCAACAGACTTAGATTATTTTTTGATTCATTGTCTTCATATGTGGTAATAATAGTAATGAAAATAAAATCTCAAAGTCAATGTGGCGTCGAAACTTTGATCCAATATTGTCGACTTCCTGTTTATCATAGGGCAGTGCTTCAATTCATTTTTAGGTTTGTTTCATGGAGTTTTTTCACTGTTCTGAATTTTGTGAGTTTACACCAAAATTTGCCCATCTCCTCTCTCATAGGGGTACAATCCTAGGCAGTCTTTTGAGTCACTTTATAATTTTTATTTGTTGGACCTACCATTTTTAAATGTAAAACAAATACTTTTAAAACTGTAAAACCCTCGTAATATCATTATTTATATCAATGTCTAGCTAAAAACGTACCCACTTTCCATGAGCTACAGCGGCAATGAGGTGTGGGCTGGGGACAACAAAGGCATGCTACACGCCTTTTCTATGCAAGCAGGGACTTTACAAACTCTGTCTCAGTTTGATGTGGGGCATACTGCTATGGTCACTGGAATCCACCGATCACCTGGAAGCCTTTACACCTGCTCAGCGGACAGGACAGTGAAGGTGATCAGGGCATTTTCATATTGTTTTCTTGTTGCCTTTTATTGTTGTGCTTAGATTTTAATGTGGTTTTGCAGGTTCACATACCATGTTCACCACCAAGAACACTGTGCACACTGCAGCAACAGACTGGAGTAAATGGGGTTAGTAAAGTTTTCTAAATTCTCTTCTAAAAATACATTAAAATTGGTTAATAGTATTTTTTTTCTGACCAGTTGAGTGTGGAGGCTGGAGTCCTTGCTGTTGCCTCTGGAGAAACCTGTATAGAAGTCTGGCGGCCCAGAAAATGACAGCAGGAGAAACCAGCTCACATGTTTAGGATTCACTAGTATTTCGCTCACTAATCGTGTGGATACAACAACACTAGACACATTAACACGCACATAAAAAAAAAAAAAAGTTGATTCTTGTATATATATCTTTATGTCACTTTGTTATGTGTGATTTAATAACAAAAAAATAGTAGAAGTTGATTCCGCCTTATTGTTGTGCTTTCAATAAAAATCAGCTCTTGCAGTGTGTATTAATACATGTATATTTTATTATTAATTTTGTTTTAAATTATCCAAAAAGAATAAAAGAACAGAAGTGAAATATGTTTTGTTACTTCTAACAACATTATCACAAAGATTTTATGTTTACATACAAAAGATTGGGTGTTACAATACTTGATGTCACTGTTGCGTATATAGAAATGATACTAACTCTCAAACAAAAGCTACAGGTGCATTATTTAGTAAATAATGATCACAGCAGCACACAGGACTTCTTGTCTTTGAATGGATTCAATGAAGAGTTGATTCCAGTCAACAGAGGATCACTGCGCTTGTGCTCCTGGCAATACTGGACCAGGTCTACTGCTGTCAGCGAGATCTGATAATGAAAACCATTTGATAGTAAATGCACTTCTGGTACTGTTATTTATATTAAAATGCAGCTATAATGATTGATTGTTTTTCCTACCTTCAGTCTTTCCATTCCCGCTTCAATCCTGAGTTGGTGGATCAGCTTTTGTGCTTGTACCACTGAATTACTGCTGGAAGCCTTCCCGGACATTTCTTTTGCATTGAATACTCTAAAAGATAAAGCCGTGAAAGATTGCTCTGTAGCCCTATTATTCCTCCTTTGTACAAAGAATTGTGTGATGGTTAAGTTTCTGAATGTCCCTTTTAACCTGTGCGGTCTTTTTGTTCACAGCTGGGGCAACTTCAAAGACCCCCTATAGAAAGGTCATATGATAGTTCTGAAAATGTCAAAAACATCACAGATCATTTCAGAGACACCATACCACACAGCACAAAGGGCTGAAATATAATGCAGAAAAGTCATAGAGCAAATACATAAGCATGCATAGGTAAATAAATATTAATTGCGTATGTGAATTGTCTTTGTGCCAAGTATCAATAATAATAAAAAATCTCCAAACATATTCTGATTTGTGATTTTGTTACAATAAATCACCTGTGAATAAATTGTCTGCTGTACCATTTCACTCCTCTGGGGCAGTACTCTTCTTGCAGACGTACGCTCTCAACTATTCTTGGGCGTAGAAGAAGAAACATTTCCGCAAGTAGGAGGGGCCAGACAACATGCCGACTGCTGCTGTCAGCCGAACAGTTTATATCTGTGTAATGTTTAGTGCCTTTTGGTGTCCAGCAAACTAGTGACTAACCTTTCGTCTCTGCTGCGGCAACTCACTTCAGGGATAAGTATGTTTTATATTCGCTTTTATGAGCTATTGTCTACCTAACACTCGATCTGAAGACGTCACCTCACTAGTAGCTACGTTTCTACAGCATGGGTTGTTTACATCAAAATGTCTGGGTACTTTTTTTTTCTTTGATACAGTAATGGAATAACTTTAATGTAGTAACAAGGGCTAACTACTTATGAAATGGCAATCAAGATGATACAGAACAGTACTTATATTTCTTTATTTTTGTGGATAGGAGATGGCAGATCAGGCTCCCTCTGTGGCCATGGAGGCTGTCCTCAAACCCAGCTGTGAACTCCCAGAGGACATGTTAAAAATCCGAGGGTATGATTTCAACCAGGGAGTGGATCTTCAGGCTGTGCTCAAGTCCTACCTGACTACTGGCTTCCAGGCAAGCAGCATGGGCCTTGCCATCCAGGAGATCAACAACATGGTGAGAAGTAACAACCAGCAGGTGTTGAAATGTGTTGCACCAAATCTGAACCATAGCACATCTGAAATTAGGTTAATTTTACCTGTTACAAAATTGTCAAAAAAAAAAAAAAAAACAGGTCGACTGGAATTTTTGAGAGCTGCCAAACAAGTTTGCTTCTACACTAAAAAGTATGTAATAAAACACAAACACAAGTAGTTATCTAGTTCTACTTTTATTTAGATTTTCATTTGTCTTGTTTATACCAGATTTCATTATTACACCAACACTTACATTTTTAGCACATTTATTTATAGACATTGTATTTAGTTTTTTGTTTTTCACTATTTTACAGATAGAAAAGCGCCTGGAGCCAGTTGATGAAAATGAGTCGGACACAAATTCTAACAAGACAGGATGCACTATCTTTCTTGGCTACACATCCAATCTTATTAGCTCTGGGGTTAGGGAGAGCATTCGCTACCTTGCAGAGCACAAAATGGTAAATTGTAAAGTATATTGTCAGATTGATTCATTGACTATGATGGTGGCAATGTGCATATGGGGTTTGTAATTTACATTCCTGTGCTAGGTTGATGTCATTGTTACCACAGCTGGGGGTATAGAGGAAGACCTAATAAAGTGCTTGGCTCACACATACCTTGGTGACTTCAGTCTGTCCGGCAAAGATCTTCGTCAAAGAGGCATTAACAGGTAAGTTTTAGGGTAAGCTTCATATCAGATTTTTGAGTTCTCTTTTCAACATTTTTTTTCCCTTATCTGATTTCAGAATAGGAAATCTATTAGTTCCAAATGATAACTACTGTAAATTTGAAGATTGGCTCATACCCATCTTAGATCAAATGTTACTGGAACAAAAAACAGAGGTGAGAGCATAGATAAACTGAATAAAACTCAAAGCAGAACTAGAAAATAGTAACTGTTAAACATGCTTTACTTCAGGGCACTCATTGGACGCCTTCAAAGATGATCCATCGTCTTGGGAAGGAGATCAATAATCCAGACTCTGTTTATTACTGGGCATATAAGGTGAGTACTACTTAGCCTTATAAAAAATATGTAGATGAATTTATATATCACCTTCATACACACCCTGGTCATTACCTGCTTACACTCATGTCCTCCCGGGGGCACTACAGGTCTGTTAGATCCAAATCTGTTAGATCCAAATCTGTTATATTCCAAATTCTTTCTCATGGCTTTTTGGACGCTAAACCAATCCCTGGTATAACCTGTTTATTTATCTATTGTCAGTTGTATTATGTATGTATATGATCTGTCCCTTTTGTTCTGTGTTTCTTGCTGTCCTGGAAGCAAATTCGACCACCTTGTTGTATAGCCTGTAAACTATTCCTAATGATTCTGATATATAAATATAAATAAATAGAGACGTTGTACTTGCAATATTGCAGTATGATCATCATGACTGAATAATTGTGTTTTTTGTCAGAATGATATTCCAGTGTTCAGCCCAGCTCTGACTGATGGCTCTCTGGGGGATATGATCTACTTTCACTCTTTCAAAAACCCTGGCCTTATACTGGATATAGTGGAAGGTAGGTCCTTATACCAAGAAAATTACTGTTTAATCTTTGTGATAAGGCCATTATAGAATTCATTAAGATCATTTGGATGATAATTTGTGTTTTTACAGATATTCGCAGAATGAACAGTCAGGCCGTATTTGCTAAAAAAACAGGAATGATCATTCTTGGTGGTGGACTGGTCAAGCATCACATAGCCAATGCCAACCTCATGGTAACTATGCTTCATTAATTTGTATCAGATTTCTGAAATGTCAAAAATATATATTTTTTTCTGTCCTTGATGGGTTTTTTTGTGTTTGTGCTTTGTGCCTTCCGTGCAGAGAAATGGGGCAGACTTTTCTGTGTACGTGAACACGGGGCAGGAGTTTGATGGTTCAGACTCTGGGGCAAGACCTGATGAAGCTGTGTCTTGGGGCAAGATTAGAACAGATGCAAAGCCAGTCAAGGTAAAAACAAAAACATCAAAATAGATTGTATATTCAAATTTGAAATAAACAATTGCATGAAAACTGTTAATCTGTAAAACCAGTAGTAGCCAAATGTTTGTGCAGTTCAAACCTGTGGCCTCAAGGTGGCAGTGTGTGAATAGTATTTCTTCCTTTTTAGAAATACAATCACATTATAAAATTTTGTTTATTTTCTAGGTGTATGCGGATGCCTCTTTGGTTTTCCCTTTGATTGTGGCCCAAACTTTTGCTTTACATGCTGACAGGCTGAAAGGCGCAGGCAAGAAAACAGATTAAATCTATGGCTTGTATCACCCGATAAGAAACATTCTGTAATATTATCACAAAAGTATATGTTTCTTTCATATATCTAAGGCTTGTGCATCCAAGTATAATGTTCAGTTTGAAGAGGATAAGGCAAAATGTTCAATGGTAATATTGGACAAACCCTGTTTTTTTCTGTGAATTCTTGGGATTTCTTTTTGGATAATAATTTGAAAATATAATGGAATTCATGCAAGAAAACTGTTGCATGCTGGGCATCTTAGTGTGACAACGTTACATTATAAATACTATAAAGCATGCTGGATCATGTACCTTACAATAATGGTTTGTTTTCAGTTATTTTTTTCATTGTGAATGTACACACGCAGTAGCATCACTTTACCTGGGTTTATATTAAACATTTGGTATTTTAATATTTTAAAAGTATTGTTTTTAATCAGATTTGCCTTATAAACCAAAAAAATGCACTAGTCTTATATAAAACTGTGTTTAATTTACACCACAGTAATTGTACAAACAATTTTGATGTGGCTCTCAAAGTGCTCTCAACAAAGATGACATTGCTTTTCTTCCCCTGTACTTGGCACAATGTACCTCAAAAACATTAATGATTAAAACATTTACCCTGAAACTACTGTGGAAATTGTACATTTGTTAATTGTTAATTGCTGCATTTGTGTTATGTTCACAATTTGCAAAGTTTAATCAAATATTGCACTATGGTCTTTTATGAGTCTTTAATTTCTGTTGCCATTAGAGAACATTTACTTCAGCTAGAGATACCCATCCTTATTATTGGATTCAAAACCTGGTTGTGGTTGTATTCTGTCAGGACTGTGACTTTGGTAGCAGAAGACACGTTTTATGTTCATATATAGAAAATTGTAACTAGGATAAGGTCAAATGTCATAAAACTTTGGTTGCACACCAGCTGGGCGTTGGTGTGCTGGGAGAGGCACAAAAAGACTACCACATATTCTATTGGTACAGTTGTAGTGTTTACATATGGTTTGACAGATTGATGTTCATTCTATAGTACTTGTTTGTTTTGCACTTTATTTATTGCAGCAAAAGGAGACAGCCCAAAAAGAGAGAGCTTGAGGTGTGTGTAGGATGAGCCACAGTCACGCTACTATAATATTGTGTAGCGTCTGCACAGAGCCAACTGTGATTGCCCCCCACCCCCCTTCACCAGTTTGGAACAATCAGTACTTTGTGTGATGTGCTGGGCCACTGCAGTCATAATGGCAATTATCGTTTTTCCTTTCGGCTAGATGGGCCATTTTTTACAGTGAGAACCAAGAGCCAGACAGACAGACGGGAGCGCTGACCTGCTCCACAGCTGCAGGGTGGAGTGGACTTGCAGGGAAATTACAAACTGGCAAAGATTTGAAGGTTGTCCATTTGCATAATAATTATTTTGGTATAATTGTTTATGTTAGTGATATTATTCTTGCATTAACATCCATCCCACAGCATCTAGTATATCTGTATGATAACACTTTTCGTATAAATGAGCAATACCATACTGTGCACCTATTGATTTTTTAACAGATCTAAGTCTTTTGTTGATCTCTGTTAATATGAGTGTTAATTTCTCCGGTGTTTCTACAACAGTATGAATTCTTTAAGATGACAGGAAAATTGTCAAAGTTCAAATAGTTGTATATGTCATAAGATACAGGAACTATCACAAGAACTCTATCCCACTGTACTGCTCTTATCATTGCTTCTGTTTGCCTGTTTGGTTGTTATAGGAACTCATGAGCTTTTGACGCCATTGGCCAAATACCTGATGAGGTAGTGGCAGCCAGGTGAGAGTCCAACTGCGTGGGTGTAAGAAAAAAAGAAAAGTCAGGAAGTTTGCCGAGCGGGGCAGAAAGATAAACAGTTAGATACAAGGGAAGACAATGGGGCAATAAATGTTGGGGCTCTAGAGTAGTGAAGGAGGGGGTAGCAGTAGCGCCTTGTACATTGTACATTTACCTAGGCTCCCCCGCTGCTTTCCAGAAACAGGAAGTCTGTTGAACTTACGTGACGCAACCGGCTGAGGCTGATGACGGTTTGTACCACAGTTACCATAGCAACCGCAGGCATGGACAAACATCCGGACTGCAGCCTTATCGAAAGTTTCTGTGTTGATGCTGGTCACTATGGGACATGTTCAATTGCACTGCAAACTGTATCATATTGATCTTTATTCATTTTATAGGTTAGGCAACAATAATTAGAGAAACTGTGTAACCTGTGCTGAAAAAAAGGTATTGTCCTAAATATTTCCAATGGAGTGTTTTAGCTCAAAGAAATTACATGTGAAAATTTTCCTTAGATAAGTCATACTGGAGCACAGGCTTTAGGAAATAACCCACTCATTTCTATAAAAATGAACAACAACAATTTCCTGGACTCTCACTACAACCACGTGACTTTACAGCAATCATTGTATTCCACTGATGAATGAAAGAGAAACAAATCTACACATTGTGCCCCCTTTGTTGCTCTTTCCTGTTTACATCATAATACCCAAAAACTCATGCAGATGAAAGGTCGACACAACTCTTGCTAAGTTTGAGTGAAATTTGATTGTGACTAATTACAAGGCAAGAAGACACTGACAAGAAAATACTTTAGCTTCTTTATTTAAATAATTATTTTTATATCACACATAGTTTCCAGATTTCTACACATAATATCACATATAACAAAATAAACAATGGATACATTTAATTACAACAACAAAACACGTAAAGCACTTATTTTTATTTTTTCTACATATTTAGAAATGCTCCTTTGGCTTTTAAGTAAAATTTTCAAATGCAGCTATTTTATAATCACCTGCAGCTCATGTTGTATTTTTATTTTTTTTTCAGGTTTCCAATACAGTTCACAGAAACAACATGAGGAAATCGTCTGTCATATGTAACTGGAAAAAATATCACATTCTATGGTAAACACAATAACCACAGACAACATCAAAGCCACATTCTGACACCTCTCCAAGTCTTTTGTGCACACGTCAGTACATCCATTGTATATACCAGCAAGTAATATATAAGCAAAGTTATCAGAGTGGTCTTAAATAGAAATGAGACCAGTCCCCTGTTCCTGCTGAACTGAGCCAGCCAACGTCACACACTGATTATCAGCACAGCAGGCACAGGAGACCAGCCCAGCGAGGGACACACACACACTCACTTACACACACACACACACACACACGCGCACACACACACACAGGCAAATCAAAAGGTAGAAACACACCGTACTGCCACTGTGAGACCTGGGCAGCTGTGGATACAAATGACGACATATCGCTCGCTCATAGCCTTTCCGCACTAATGAGAGCCCTGACATTTAACAGACACTGGTCGCACGCTTTCAGCTAATTCACCACATTACCGGCTCTCACGAGAAACTCCCCTCCAACTGTATACCTGCTGCACCCCCGCTGACCATTAGACCATCTTTGAACCTCTCTGCAGGCTCTTCACTCATGCTGTTAGATTGGATGTGATTAATGAAAAAGAATATATGACAAAATTTTCTGTTAAAGGTTTGTATCCACTATCTATAAAACTAGCCCTAAACCTTTTGTTTTATGTATTATGTTCCCCCAGTGACCTTTACTGCCCCCTGTAGACTGCAGCCCTGTGGCGGCAGAACTTAACCACTGTGAACATGGCCGACATTCACTGTTCACATGTGAGCTAAGTCCTGAGGCCGCACAGCCAGCTCAGGAGCAGGTGCACACAAAGATTGTTTTTGAAAATATAATATCTAAATATAAGACGAACTTTTCATGTCAGCCATTGGAAATCCCTGGCAATGTGATTTAGTTATGGAGTGTCAAAAATCACTCTGCCAGGAATTCCCCTGGCCAACAGAAATACACAAATTAATCAAAATTATTTGTCTGATAAAAAACTTGCACTACAAAGATGTGTGAAATCTTACTATTTAGTATTGGCTCATTTTATTTTAGCACTTAACAAAAGACGATACATGTATGTGTGAGTTTATGTTGCATTTTAGTATGTTACTTAGTAACTGTAGTGTAGCCTTTCTCATAGCTGTGTGTATACTGTATGTGCGTGTTCTTGTCAACTCCCAGACTTCCTGTGGCCTCTTATAAAAATAGCTTTTCAATGACAGAATGGAGAATTAGGTTAGAAGGAAATGACCAGTCAAGTGGCACTCCCTTGAAAGACGGTGTCCTGCCTCTGCCCCTTTATATGTGCCCCTATGTCGAGTGCACTGGTCCGTGTTTCCTCTGCAATAATCACAAATGTGCCAAATCTCAAAAGAAAATCTGAATTTCACATGTAAAGGCTGTAACCGGTATATCTGATAATGCCGTATCTATAGCAAGTCCCTTCACTGTGCACCTTGGGGCAAATAATTTCCTTAAGTACTGTTTGATATTACTTGTCAAGACAAGAAACATTTTAAAGGATGTTCCAATGGCCTCAATCAGACTAAATGCCATGTAGCCACCTCATTCCTGTTTATATTTTAAGCCGTGTGAGCATTCTGCCATAGGTATGAGTCAGTAGGACACTTTTGGGGAAGTCCAGGGTCTAAATAGGTCTGACCTGGTTGTCTGCTGTCACTGTGGTCCCTGTTATAACAAAATGAGAGCAATATGATGACTTATTTATTTAGTTCTGAATCAGGAGAGTAGGCGGGGGGGACAAAGGGATCTATTGTCCGTTGTACCAGGGACAACAGAAAACAGAATTAGACCCTCTTCCTATTAAATAATATTAGAAGGGGGCCCAGGTGAGGCTTCTTGCACCTAGGCCTCCAAATATATAGTGCCTCGTAAGCTATAGGTTCTCGCAAGAGTTCAATCGTCTAATGACAGCAAATTGTACTATATCCGTTTAACTCTTAATCTGTACTACTCTACTATACAACATTAATTCTAACATTTTCTGTGATAATTACCAAAGCTGAGGTGTAATTTCTGCAGATTTTTTCAACTAACTTAAACAATACTTTCTTACACATTCAAAAGGGAGATAATCTTTGTTTTGTTTATAATGTATTTTATGAGGCAAACTAGTAAATAGGTCGCAAAGGGTTTAACACAGTTATTACAACTGATTAACGAATGAGCAGTAATAGTAATATTTTGTGTTGTTTAATGACTTTCTGTTTTTGTGATATAGTTTTGTTGTTATATTCGTCATCCACCTCATTTAATAGATCATGTGATCTGCGCACATGTAGTCTCGCTTAGTGATGGTGCCTTCAGAGAGAAGGTCATTTAAGGTCCCGCTTTCACCACACAGACGCCATGCTAATTCCTGTCAAACTCAAACTCTCCTCTTTTGGTCTAAACCGCCCTTTTATCTGGCACAGACTCATCTCGTGTGTTATTTTCTCAGTCTTTTCATCTTTTCCATCGCTTCGCTGTCCCTCCTTCTCTCCCTCCTTCTCTCCTCTTTTCCCCTCGTTCGAACCCGCAGCCGTTAATGCCTATGAGCTCATTCCTTCCCATTCCCCCTGTAATAAATGTATTCTGCTTTTGACATGCGCTGCCAAACACCTCAATGCCAAAACACAGGGATCTCAACAAGGCCTCCGCACTTTGAGATCTGGGGTGATACATTTGAACTTGAGTCTGAACTTGAAGTCAAAGTGGTATTTTCAAACGCTGCACACTCTCATAAAGGACAGCTATGCTGTATTGTGCCTATCCCGTGCCAGAGCGTTTATGCAGATTTCCAGCAGATAAAACTTTGGTCAAATCAAAATGTTTCCATACTGTCTTCATGAGTTCCACTTAGTTCGGGGGTAATTTTGTTGGTTTTAAATGACTGTACTGTTTATACTATTGGCATATATAGCTAGGACTACACTTAAAATGGAGCAAACAGCATATGGAGATGTGGGTGTAGACGTGGCCACAGATTTTTTCTGTGTTCTTGAGCCTGTCCAGGACTGACTTTGCCGTTTACACAAGGGCACACGGTTAAGTGGAAAAGCCTCTGTTGAGACAGCTGGATCTCGACCTCTTGTTTTTTTCAACACATCTCATCCCTCTCCCCTTTCCTATGCTCACTCAGAATATATGAACCACAATTTCAGTTCCAATCAATTAACATATACAATTATGGTATAAGTACTCTCAATCTGTTGCATGAATATACAATAACACAAAAATACACGCCATCTGACATCACTTGCACCTCAGGCCTGCTAACCGCTGTGAGGAAACAGCAATGAGGATGAACCCACCACTCACTCACTCACTGCTCTACACTGCTTTGCAACTTTAACTATGGATGCTTAGTACAAAGACTTTTACAGTGGGCAATTTGTTTTTAAAGACACTAAAGACACGTGAAAGCCAGGTATCCAGTTGCAATGGCAAGCAGTAGTGTATCAAAGTAGATGTGTATGTTATGTATGTATGTTACAATAATTTCTTAATTCCCAGTGCAAAAATGACTTCTATGTGATCAAATACGCTTTTCTATCATTTACACCAGTTTTACACTACCAACTATAAAGGCGAAAAACCTACTAAAAAAAGTGGCACAATATTCAAGCTAAAACCACTTACAGCAAAAAGCTAAAGATTAATAGTAATCAGCCTTCCTTCATATAGACCATTACAATGACTAAAATTGTAAGCCTCATTTACATGCTGCCGGTTTAACCACAGATTGTTGACCTTGTTCACCTTACTCACAGCACCACGCCCTATCAGTGGCCGCTCACACCAGACACCGAGCGTCTGGCTATGAGTGACTAAAAACTGTATTTGTTTCATGTTGCGTGCGAGGGTGTAATTATCACTCCGGCTGTGACATTCAATGACATTCAGCGGATTTGGGACTTGTATGTTTTCATATTTTCCCAAGATTAAAACTAAGCATGTTGAAGCAGTGTACTGCATTTGGGACAGAAGAAAAAGTATTCCCAGGTATGGATTTTTAAGGTTAAATAGTGTTGTAAAGGGAAGCGCCCAGCCCAGGCTCTTGGTTGATCCCTTCAGCCCAGTGTAACTCTATCCTATAAGCCTGACTCGTTGCCAAACAGCCTCACCACCAGTACCACTAGCCGCCCTGTACTTATCCAGTGCTGTGCTGCTGCCACTGCAATGCATACACACATGATGTACACAAACCACACACTTTTATTCCACTACGCCAGGGTTTCCGAGGCCTGGGTCTATACATCTGAGGGCACACCCACCCCAATCAGCCTGCCACTCCACCAAACTTCTACAAACCAAACTCTCTACTCTCCACTTTCTTTGCCACAACCAGCTACAGTATGATTAAAGAAATAATAACTCTTACCTTTCTCCTATGTTCTCGGTTGTTTAATTCACCGTACCCTCTTCTAGCTTCATTTTCTAAAGTCTATAGTGATAACTTATACTCAGATTGGCCTTCACAGATACTTCCATAAGTAACTCAAGACAGAGGAGTAGACAGGAAGAGCTTGCGAGCCATCTTTGCACCGGAGTGGCTAAGCTAGAGTACAGTAGTCCCTGGATTCCCTTCCTTTCATGGAGGTTTGGGAGCTTGCAGACTTACAGGGCCCCTGAACAATGAGAGGAATGTATGAGTGGCTCCGGCCTTGCGTCAACCACTACCATTACGTCCCTCTGACCTAAGTTTCGACAACTTTTATGATCTTTATTGTCGCTGCTACTAACACACAAACGAGAAGTGCTCAAAACACACACAGAATCGCAAGAGTAATTCACAGTGGTTATGTGTAATCCCCAACGTCAACTGGACAGACAGACAGGCAGACAGAAATTAAGCCTCCCCATTCAACTGAACTATTTACGTCTGACCTTTGTAACAGAGCTGCTCCATAGTGACAGACCTTAGGCGTAATCCCAGCACCGGAGCGAAACTGTACGTTTGTGGAGCAGGCACGCGCATGACTTTGCTCTAGTCAACATCTGTCTTGATCAGCAGGTTGTAGATCTGGACTAGGTGTGGACTGTATCTGCAAAACAACATTAAAGAAAAGTTCAAACTGCCTGAAAAACCAGGTAATAAAGTCATAAAAGAGAATAGTACTAGTTGTAAGAAACGGATCTCACCTGAAGTTAAATTACAACTCCTCAAATCTTATCTTTCTCATAGTCCCAGAGAAGATTCAAACTTCACTTTTGTCCCGTCAATCTCCCATTGTTTACCCACGTCTCCAGCTCTTTGTCGTGATTGTCAGAGGTGCGTCCCGGTGCGGCGCTGCAGACAGAAGTGTGTGTGACCGTCTCACATCCAGACGGGGTTGAGAGTACTGAGTGGGTGGGACCAAAATCGCGCAGGGAATTCCTTTATGACGCCAGCCTGAAGAGGAGCCCTCCCCTGTCTCTCCTCCTCTCCCTCTCTCTCTGATACCCGGTGCTCCTGCTGCTAGTCCTGGACACTAGAACACAGGAAAGGGGGCAGGGGGATAATTGGCCACACAGCTGCTAATAAACGAGTCAATGGCAGACAGGCAGGAAGAGAAGGTAATGTGCAGTCAAGTGGACAAAGGCACTGGTATGGTTTGTTAAAATGCCTTGTACAACACACTTATATGAAAGACAAGTTTACACTGTCCCAGCTAGAGACAAACAACGACAAAGTTCATTGTAAGTAGTCTCCAAGTTGCAAGAAGAGCAGTATTTAGGTGTCAATTTGCTTTACATAGGAAAAAGTATGTCCTGGGTTTATTAGGAGCGATCCACTAAAATAAAAATGTTGCATATTATGGGTCCGTTTGAAATTTAGACAATGGATGGATATATTGAAGGAAATTTGTGTAATGGAAAAAATGACCTATTATTTAAGCTGGTAATAGACAAAGATGGATACAATTACAATTACAAAGCTCACTCCATAGTTTATACTAAACCTAGTAAAAGTATAAATAAAAAGTTAAAAAACATTGCATACTGGATTAGAAAGTAAACAAACATTGGCTATAAATGGCTCTTGGACCCAGCAGTTTTAATTAGCGTGCAACATTCTTCGTCTGACTTCATAGCAATGTTGTGTTTGCCTAGACTGTATCCTTGTCCAAGTGTGACTGTTTGAGTCCAAGTTTGCTTTTTATTTGCACCTGTCTGTCTCAGGACCCCCCCTCAACAAACCCCCCCACCCCGCTATAGCAGGACGGTAATATGAGCTTCTGAGAGTAGGGCTATTAGAGACTTTATGACTTCCCCTTTCTTTTCCAAAGCCTCTGGGTGTGTGTGAGCGCTGACGACCACAGGCAGCCACGCCCCTCAGCGCGAGAACGTCACACATTCCACACGTACACACACACAGCCGTCTCTAGGCAACACTCCATCCGCCTGTAATGTCTGCTGCCAGGAAGACACATAACACACTGTTTATCCTCACATGGGATAATGTTTGGTTTGTGGACTCGGCTCTTATTTTGTCTTCATAGGGGATTTACAGTTTGCATGACAGTTAAATGAAGTGTCGTGATAATCAAGTTACATGGTGATTGCCTAAACTTTGTAATTGTTAGCAGACTCTCGAGATGAATACAGTTCAGTTATGATTACCAGGAATAGCAATTTGTCAATTTCAATTTTAATCAACCCAAAATCACAGGGTTGTCAGAATGAAAAACGGTGGTTGACATAAATCGACAACAAAAGGTTTTCATTTCCATTCTGTGGTGAGGCGTGCCGTGCAGACTCCCCTCAGTTTTGCCTCCCAAAGATGCTCATTAGCATAGCCACACGCAACATCAGTGTGGTAAAGACTAATGCTATCCACTTTTGAGACACTGACTGTGTCGTATTTTCTTTAAATTATAATTTACTCATGTAAATGTACTTGTTTTCTTATTTATCCTATGCGTTTTGTATTTATATATATAGTCCTTTATTGTTTAGTACTAGTACTTTCTTGGCATACTAATGTCTTCTTTTTAAGTTTATTTTGGTTTTGTCTGGCTATTCATGGGTTTCAGCTTCACAACATTTGAGGATAATTCAAAAGATATAATATTAAATCTTTTATCTCTATCACAACAATGCTAATTTTTCATCATTCTGAAAACCATATCTATAATTGAAAGGACAGAAATACCACCTTGCACCAGACCTGCCGCATGGTTTCATTTTCTACTCTTTTAATGTTTCAGGTTGAAATATATAATCCATTTTTTTAACTTTGTAAAAAATACTGACCTATGATGGGAAGGCAAAACTATAGCGACTTCCATCCACAATATGACCCTAATGAACACATGATACAACTTTTCCAGCCCTCCCTTTTTGGAATATTTTGGAGTGCAATGTTCCACAATGATTCCCATTGGCAGGAAAAATGTGGCGCTTGGAAAGTGGTGCTGCCAGCACTGGAGCGCTGTCCTTGCCTCTAAGCCCAAGATACAGTATATGGTTCTGTACAATATTATCAGCTGTGCATGTTAAGTAAACTGACATGTAGCCTATGTTGTAAATGCCCCTATTGTGTGAGAGGAATGTGCTATAAATGTATGAGGCAGAAGTCACCAGTGTAACACAGGGCTGACCTTTGAGGTTGTGGTCTACTACAGTTCGAATGCGGCCAGGGGTTTTGATGAGTTTGTGGGCTTCTTCAGACAAGCTTCATCGTGGCTCACAGAATGGAGTTACACTTGGATATTTCCAGAGCAGACTGTAGAATCAAGAGACAGATAACTATAAATAACCATTACATAGAAGATCCTAAGTATTTTTTGTTTACATTTTTAAATCATAACTTCGTGTCAGTGTCACAGGACATCTGCTTGGCTGACTTCTGTAGTGACTCATAACAGTGACATAATCTGGGTCACAGGGTTTGTGATGAAAAACATAAAATAAAAACTCACAGTTAGTTACCATGGCAAGTCGACCCAATTATGCAACACGCATGTGGTTTTAGAAAGAAGGGAATGGTGGGAACTTAGCAAGCATAGACCTCCTATGTTAAGTTGGTGTTTATTCTACAAAAATATTGAGACAATAAAACTGACACTAAGACTAAGATCCTGCTTCACATGAAGCACAGTTTAATTACTCAGATAATAGTCCTATCCTGTAATAACCCCAAGCATAACATAACAGTTCATTAAATGTAATGTAATACATATGTTAGTCAGCCACCTTCTTGTCTCCATGGAGATGTTATTGCTTTATACAGCATTAAACGTGGCTGTCTTGCAGGTGCCACCATTGGGCAAAGCTGCAGGTCAGTTTTCTGAAGAGGTAACCCAGCTCACAGTAAGACAATTTTAAAAGTCTTCAAAGGCAATTCTTGGCGATAAAACCAGTAACACCAGTAATTTATATATATAGCTCAGATATGTTATATAAATATCATAGTGTAAAACTTGCCAGACGTAGCAAAGATATCTCTATGAGGCAAGAAAAGTTAAAATAGCAGCGGTATTAATTAGCGCCTCTCTTCTCCTTCCTGTCCTCCACGTGCTTTTCATAATGGTGTATAACGTTTTGGACATAATGTCCGTTCTTTATTAGCAAAATACGACTGGGCGACATCCAGTGCACACATAAAAGACACAAAACAATAGCTTCAGTGTAGCTAGCTGAAGTCTCTGGTCCAACTTTCTAAGCTTTTTACCAAAAAGGCAACAGGCAGCCACGCGCTCCGGTATTTACGTGATGGTGGTTGCCAAGGAGACGACGCACACACTGCACAACAGTGCGGCGGTAGACAGGAAGTGCTGAGGAACCACAATGGCGTCACTGCGGCTCCAGATCCTCTCCATTTCAGAGTATGCCCGGACAGAGCACATGCTATGATCCTGAGCGAAACCACACCGCTACTTTGCTTTTCTCCTCCTCTCTCATTTCTGCCATTATTATTAGCATTGCTTTTTCAGCTGTGCGCGTTGTCTCCCCCACTTCTTTACGTTCAACCACCCTCTCCGATTGGTGGCTGCTCTTTTGACTTTGAGCATGTGGAAAATTATGTCTGAATTGTGGTGTCTGGGAAGCTGTATTGATGTGTTTGACAGTGACTTATCCACATACTCTCAGACCTCCCCATATATGCAGAAGAGCTGAAACCACATGATCCGAAACAAAACTTGACCACTTCTTAAGCCAAACATAGATGGCTGAGGTGAGGAGGAAAAAAACAAACAGACAATACTATCTAGCCCTGGAGCATTTCAGATCATTGGCTGGCCAAACAAACAAAAATTAAAAAAAATAAAAATCATAGAGGCAAAATAAAAGATTTTAACTTGAATAGTCATCCAAAGGGCAATGCTAAACTTAACTAACTTATAAAAAGCAATGACTCAATTCCATTGAAAATACAGTATGTTTAAAAAATAGAAAAAAATTCCAACTACCTTTCCTGACCTAGAATTCCCTGTTTTAGTACACTCATATTCTGAAAAGGAAAAAGGGAGTGTAATTTACAGTAACTGCCTGTGGATTTTGGCTGTAAATTCAACTGAGTCAACCAGGTGAACAGCGTAGTCAGTTGTAGCTAGTGCCACATGGAGAACGAAAGAATGTGTGTGGTCCTGTTGCAAGGCCTTACATCAGACTGGCACTCTGTACACGGCACATCCCTCCTGTTCTTCCCCTCTCTGTCATTTTTACACATCCCTCTCTAAATATACTCCTCTGGAAAAACCCCTAAGAAGATACCGCCCTCTCCCACTCCACTAGCTAAAAATACCCCATAGCCACGACCACCTTCCTTAACCCTCCTCCTGTGTTTTCTTTCTGTCTCGCTTCCCACTATCTGAATCTCATTCATTACGGTCATTTATCTGAAGCTTTTTAGTCATCGGACAATTTTACACAGAAGCCAGGGTGACCACATGTACCTCTTTTGGTTGTCAAGCAAATAAAATCAATTGTGCATACTGGCATTCAGGGTTGTATTATGTTTGCACCTATTGCTTCTTTGTGAGTTACGATTGAAAAATCTAAAAATCATATGGTGTTTTTGCCGTTATTGTCTATACAGATACATTTCCAGAGTCTGTCCCTTCAAATCCCACCACTCTCAAAAACGTGGTCACCCTAACGGAAGCTGTTTCAACCTAAAAACTTCCAAACCTCCCACGTATATGCAACCCACCCATCCTTCCATACAGAGAGCCAGTACACACAGAACCAAGCCAGAGGACTGACCAGCTGAACACCATCAGGGCCAGCCAGAGCGGCTGTGCTCCAAGTCTGGGCCCTCTGGCTGGTGGTCAAAGCGCCTGGCACAGATGAGTTGTTA